AACACGACATCCCTAGCGTGAAAAAATTGGTGAGTGTCCAAGTTATACACCCGCCACCCTTTTGTGCCATAGGGATACCCAATAAACATGCATTTCACGCTACGGGGAGAAAATTTGTTTAGGGGTTTAGGTGTTTGACGGACAAAACAGAGACAACCAAAAACCCGGAGATGACTCAAATCTTGTGGTTTGGACGAGAGTATTTCAAGAGGAGATTTCCCACCCAAGAGTTTTGTCGGTGTGCGATTAATTAAATAGACAGCAGTTTTGACACATTCCCCCCAAAATTCAACTGGAAGAGACGCTTGAAACATGAGAGAACGAGCAACGTTGAGAATGTGACGATGCTTTCGTTCTACTCGAGGGGTACCAACACACGACGTTTGGATACAAACACCCATGGAATCATAATATTGACGCAAAGGGGCATTGAGAAATTCGGTGCCATTATCAGACCGGACTACTTTGATGATTTTAGAGAATTGGGTGTGAATCATGGTAAAAAACCGTTTAAGACAGGCTGTTACCTCACTTTTAGTACGAATAAGATATACCCAAACAGCACGAGAAAAATCATCAACAATTGTGAGAAAATAATGAGCACCAGATGACAAACAAGGAGAATAAGGACCCCATAAATCACAATGAATTAAATCAAAAATTGCTTCAGCTTTATTATGACTAACAGGAAAGGAAGAACGAGTTTGTTTAGACAAAAAACAAATCTCACAAGCTTGAAGTTTCTTGACAACAGAACTAGACTTATTAGACTTTAAAAGGGAAATAATATCTGAGGAAGGATGACCTAAACGTTGATGAAAAAGCAAAGGATCCACGTTAGCCACATTAGCCGACACAGAGGAAGAAACCAGGATGTATACTCCGTTTCGCTTTTCACCCTGTCCATTCACCATCTTCGACGAACGGTCTTGTATTACACAACTAAAATCATTAAAAGTCACATAACAAGTGGTGTCTCGAATCAAACACTCGACAGAAATCAAATGACAATGCAATGAGGGGACATAAAATACATGATGAAGAACCAGACTAGGTGTCACACGGACACTTCCCTTTTTAGTGGCCTGAATCCAGGAGCCATCGGGGAGACAAATAGGATGAGAGAAAACATCCTCAATATTAAACATGTGCGACAAGGTGCCTGTCATATGATGTGAAGCACCGCTATCAATAATCCAATCATAAGATGTAGAAGTCATACCATTCATTTGATTGGACGAAGAAGAATCAATCACGGACATTAACCAAATCATTTTATCCCCACTCAATTTGGTTGCCATGGTATGTGATTTTTTTAAGGGTTCGGCGAGGGCAAAACCTGTGAAGTTTTGTCAAATTGATGGACAAAACCTGGTTGAAACCAAAATTGACGGACAAAATTCAGTCGACAAAGCAACTGGACGAGCTTTGGACGGCCTTCGCTGGGACTGGCGCGATCGGCTGGTATTGTAACGAGAGAGGGCTGGCGTTCTGAAATCAACCGACCTGACTTACCGGCGATCGGAAATTTGGACGGTCGCTGCCTGAATCTGCGGACGAAGTGAACAGAACCGGCGATGGACGAAAACACAGATAGGACAGGGACGGCCGATCTGAATTTCGAGTTTAGAATACTGAAATTAAACAATCGGACATGACAGGAACGGCCGATCGGAACGGACAAATAAAGGAAAATCCCAAAAAAGAAGCTCTGATACCATGTAATAGTTTGGTAAACTGAATGACTTGGTTGTTTCATTGATACTGAAGAATATAAATACAAGTTTCAATCCCAACACGATAGGCCCAATATATTACAGAATGATATACATAAAATAATATATACATAATATACGCTAACAGAAGACGCTCGAAGTCTTCCCTGTCTCGATACATCTCGTATCAAATTATACCATAATTTATCCAATCACAATCTTGTCGGGCAGGCTATAGGGCGTTCGAGCGGAGCGTTCCACCTTAATCATACTCCCTCCGTCCCTAAATATTCACAACATTTGCTTTTTCAGCAGTCGCGGGAACTTTTGTTTATTTCGACGTTTTCATTGGTTATTTGATAAAATAAAATATTCTTGACACCTTTTAATTCGAAGAACTTTTCATGTAGTTTTTTTGATATTTAATTTTTATTTTTTATTTCTTTACCAATATGTAAATAAAATGAATTGAAAAAACTTGATAGTTTGTCTCGGTAATTGAAATGTGACAAACAATTTGGGACAGAGGAAGTATCATGAAAGCTAGCAAGTGGGGGCGCGTGGACAAGAGATCATTACGCATTATAACTATTGTGGCCAAACATCTATTCTTTTCACTTTTTCACTCTCTTTCCCAATCCATGCAAACTATATATCCCCCATCCCCTCTCAGCTCCAATTCCAAAGAACCTTTAATAATTTCTTTTATTTGTATGGAATATGCATGTGACCGGCCAGTTGAGGACCATTAGGGTGGAGCACATGGATGTTGTTTTAAATGAAATTTGGTTCATGGGTGTGGAATAAATGTTGCTTGAAAAATCTAGCACTAGAAGATCTAACAGTAGCCACCCCATTGCTTCAATTTTTCTCGTTTGATTTGAAATGTTCGAGTTGGGATTTCAACCCAACGCCTGTGGTGCAACGAAAAGTTGAATGAGAATAACAAGAATATAGTTGAAATGTACTCCCCCCGTTCCTTTAAACTCTTCCCATTCCTTTAAACTCTTCCCATTTTGACTTTCGACCAAAATAAGGAAAATGTAATTTTGGTTGATTTTCCAATTTTGTCCCTGATGTGATGTGTAAAAGTAAGACGTGATAGTTTGGTTATTAGTGAAAAAGTATGATGTCAAAGGTAGGATATGAAAAAGTGAGGGTAAAAGTAGTTTTTTAATGAAAATTGAAGTGTTTTGGAGAATTGGAAAAAAATCAAAAGGGAATGGTTTTATGGAATGTGGGAAGTATATAATTCTTGTAGGCTTGCATTAATTTAAGTATATTCAGCTTGAGATGCAATAGAAGATTCACCCCCAATTTATAGTCTAATTCTATCGTATACAAGATATGCAATTTCGTATGCTACATTATCGATAAATCAAGTATCATGAAACAATCATGGCAGGGCATCAGTCATAAATTAACCCCTCAATCCCATGATTTGGGGAATCACATTTGCCTCTTACACCATGTTTAATCCACTTCTTTGGGCCAGATTTGGCCCGACACTTCGCCTCTCCCTTGGGCTTTGACCTCTCCTCCTGTTTTGGACTCGGGTTCTACTGCTGTTGGGTCTCGAAATCACATTTGAATCCCATCGGGCTTGCTCTAAGGTCCCGATATCCATCAATAAGCAGTTGGTATTTTTAATATCCAAAATAAGTGTCTTAATTTCGGAAATTAAGAGGGCATTTAATAATTAATTACTCATTTTACTCATCTAGTGACTATCATTCATTCATTCTTCATCAAATGCCATTATATCAATTTTACATATTTTGCTTTAGTTTCAATTACTGCATGTCACTCACCTCCCCATCTAGATTTCAATACACATGCATGGGAATGCTTTTACCGTGCACTATTATTATTGTTGTTGGTGGTGGCTTTTAACCCCCATGCCACAATAGAGTGGCACTCCATAATGTAAGTATCTTTTTGCTATTTTTCTATTTAAAAAAATATGACACTCCATCCCTGAGGGACTTCATTATCGGCCGGATAATTAGCTGAGAAGAGGTAAATTGGTCTGTAATCTAATCCCAGTCAGTAACAGGTTATTTTCTGCAGCTTGGGAATGCACCCATTTCCTGGCAAACGAAGAAGCAAAATACTATCTCACGCTCATCTACTGAGGCGGAGTATCGATCCATGGCGACTACTGTGTGCGAATTCAAGTGGTTGCGCTCACTACTGAACTCCTTAGGCGTGCAGTGCGTCATAATGGTCCAATGACCCTACACAGTGACAACCAAGTTGCGCTACACTGATGTTTTTTCATGAATGCACTAAGCATAATGAGACATTACTTTACAATATTCAAAATTCTTTCTCGATATTATTATTTAATAAAGACTTCATTATATGACTAAAAAAGTCAAACTATAGAAATCTTTTAGAACGGAGATAATAGCAAGGACGAAGTACTGGGGAGGGGGACACATCATTGATGAGGGATGGGTATGGCTAAGACGTACGTTTATCTTTCCTTACTTTAATTTGTCCGTGTTCAACTCTTTCCATGCAATTTCAAATCTACTTCCTTTACCCACATCACATGCATCTTGTCCCACCTTCATTTCGACTCCCTCTCTCTCTCATAATTTTCTTTCTATTTTAATTTCATATAAATTTTTGGAAAATTTTATTTGTATCCTATATTTGTACCCTATTTTATATGTCAAGAATTTGTCCTCACACTGAGATGTAAGTGCAACACTTATATCATGCCAGTATTATTGTATTTACATTTTGTGTCATAGCAAATCTTTGTAGTACAAAGTGAGACGATAATAGCACAACTCTAAATATTTTTTGTGTTGCTTCCAGACCCATACATACATACGCACGTGCCACACGTGCATGGCAAGTTGTATATTGTGTTAATCAAAATTCACGATTATTTCCAGTACTCTTATAGAGAGTGAGTTATCGTGGCATGTGAGTCGATAGCCAGCAACATTATTATTACGGAGTAAAAGCATTCCCATACCGTAAGGGTAAAAGCATTCCCATACTGTAAAGGTAAAAGCATTCCCATACCGTAAGGGTAAAAGCATTCCCATACTGTTGTAATTGTTAGAGCAACAAAAAGTTGACGCCCATAGTGTATGGGTATATAACCAACTATATATATATATATATATATATATATATATATATATATATATATATATATATATAGTGAGAGGACTGCAAGCTCCTTCACAAGTCACAATTCTCCCAATTAAATTCACTTCTTTGATTCCATTACCAAACAATTTTCTTCAATTTGCCCATTGCCTGAACCCAAGCCATGCATGCCCTTATGAAGTCCAATACTTGTCACAGAATACTTCAACCAAAGGGCATTCTGGTCAAGGATAAAATGCACCTTGAAACCTCTATTGGTGCACCAGTTGTATTTGGGTGAGCATTCATTAATTATATTATCACCAGTATTCATGTCTGGTTGTTGTTTTTTTTAAAAAAAAATTTTGCAAGTGCTGCATCATGTAGTATAAATTTTGTTATTAATTTTTTCAGGTGCGGAGAAGCTGAAACTGGATATATTTTGGGTCGGGGTGCGATCAATGGCCTAGGAAACGCAAAATTGGATGTAACAAATCTTTTATCATCCAAAGGATTTGTTCAAAATTCTTTTTCATTGTGCTTCACAAGCAAAGGGAGTGGCAGGATTGCATTTGGAGACAAGGGTGACCCTGACCAGATGACAACGCCACTCGACACCCTACACTACGAGAGGTAATAAGCTAGTGTTTTTTAATTTAATAAGCAGTGTGTTTTTTAATAGTCAATTATTCAATAAAATTATATGGAAAACATTTTTAGTGACATTGTTTTTGCCAATTTAATGGACACATGCAGTGTGTTATACAGCATACGGATAGAGCAAATATCCATAGGAAATGTGGAATTTGCAGCACTATTCGATTCTGGCTCCACTGTCACTCGCTTGAATGATGAAATATACAGCTTAATTGCAAAACATGTGAGTGGCCGGGAAACTTCACAAATTAAAGATTTTAATACTTATCATTTCTATTTATTAAACAAAAAAAATGAAGACTAATGTGAAATTAATTACTGCAATCATTAATTAATCTTGCAGTTTGATTCTTTGGTGAAAGAGACGCAGACTAGATCCTCCTCTGTCACCTTTGGAATATTGCTATGAGTGAGTTGAAATTAAAGAAAGTTTTTTTTTTTTTGAAACAAAAGAAAGTTGTTTTTATTTGCTCTGTTTATTTACATTATCTATATATTGTGTAACATATTTTGCACCTGTTTTGCAGAACTAGGGATACCTCATATTGGGTTCCTCCTTCCTTGAACCTAAAGACGAAGGGAGGGGCGAATTTCCATGTTATCTATCCCACTGTAATTCTAAATTATACGGTAAATATGCCGGGCTACCATCTCGTATTTGATCGTGAAAAGTTAATTCTAGGATGGAAAAGGTCAAGCTGTAAGTTTACATTTCTCCAAATCCCAATTTCTTTGCCCGTTAAATTTTAGTTCAGAAATTAAGTCTTATTTGTTTTTTACTTTTTTTTTTCAATTATCAGGTCAAGCAAGAAAAGCAAACACCATTGCATCTTTGCCAACAATAGAAGTCATAGTGTTCTTCATTTCAGCTTTCTTTTCCATATCAGTTATTATGTTACTTATATATTATTTCCTCCGTCCCAAAAAAAAGACTCCGAATTTCTATTCACAGGTCAAACTAAATCTACTTTCTTTATACCTTAATTATTTTATTTCTATATTTCTTTTTTGTTTTGCAAGTGCAGCAACATAAATTTTGTTATTTGCTACAATTTTTCGATTAGGTGCGGAGAAGTTGAAACTGGATATATTTTGGGTCGGGGTGCGATCAATGGCTTACTTGGCCTAGGAAACGCAAAATTGGATGTAACAAATCTTTTATCATCCAAAAGATTTTTTCGAAATTCTTTTTCATTGTGCTTCACAAGAAAAGGGAGTGGTAGGATTGCAGTGACCCCAACCAAATGATAACAACGCCACTCGACACTCTACACTACGAGAGAGGTAAGCTAATTACTTAGTTGTTTTTTAATGACATTGTTGTTGCTAGTTAGGAAAATGACTTAAGCTTAGTGCAGATATTTCTATCTACTTTATAAAATATACGAAGTATATGCTATACATTTCTGCAAATTTCAAATTCTTTTCCCTTTAAATTTAAGTTGAGAAATTAAATTAATTCTTACTAGTTTTTTACTTTTTTTTATTTTTATTTTTTGAATTATCAGGTCAAGAAGAGAAAGAAACCCCATTGCCTCAAGTGAAGCTCTTTGCCAACAATGGAAGGCATATAGTTCTTCATTTTTGGCTGCCTTTTCCATAAGACTTAATTATGTTACTCTTATATATATTATTCAGGATTAACAATTATGTAATGTAATCGTCTTATGATAACCAAAATAGCTAACATATGTAACATATCATGTGTTCGTTACATATTCTTTTATTCTGTTGCACATATAATGCATTATAATCATTTCATTATAATACCAGTAACAAGAAATATATTGCTATAATATACTCCCTTCGTCCCATAAAACCTTTCTTCTTTTTTTTCATCCGTCCCATAAAACACTTCTCATTTCTATTAAAAAGTCACTTTTACCCCTTACTTTTTCATACCCTACCTATCACATCATACCTTTCTACTAATAATCTATCCATCAAATCTTACTTTTATTCTTCACATCAAAGAACATTTTTGGAAATTTAGTACCAAAATACACTCCCTTAAATTTCTTCAAAAAAACAAAACATCCCATGTTTCATGGGACGGAGGGAGTATATACTACTTTCCTTCTAGTGTATTCATTCAGTTTGCTTTTTCCGTATCAAATTCGAAAAACTTTAAACATCACTTTTAATTTGATTTGTATATTAATACATTAAATTAAAATTTTAAAAGTTCTCAACAAGATAAATTTATCAAAATTTTTATTCTAAAATACTCCCAGTGTCCGAAAATGTTCTTCCCATTTAAAAAGGGCTCAATCTAATAGAACGGCAATTAAGTTTAACATAAACACTTAGGATTAAGATTTAAGAGCATAAAATTTAATTTTTTTTAAAATTAACATTTTGGAAGGGTATGAAGGCAGTACAAAGGCACAAATAACGCTGTAGAATTGATAACGGTAAATGCATCAAAATCTATGAAGAATATGACACGGACACTATAGAATATAGAATGAGTAATAATTATTGTCTTCTGTAACATGATTTTTCATAAAACATAGAATGAAAAACATAAAATAAATCAATAAAAACATGACCTAAAATAGAAGAAATTGAGCATATGTAAGAATTGGGATACGAGATGTACATGGAGTATAAGTATTAAATTGAGAGCCAAAAGAACAAATTCACCATCATAATATACTTTTCTTGTTATAATCAATGCCAAAGGTCGCTGCTGATGTGCCGTATGTCAACAAGAGTCGACTTTTACTGCAACGAGAGGCTACAGATGTCATCTCTAGTCAAAATCTCAGACCATAGTCATAGTCACTATTTTTGTTTTATATATCAAAATGACATCAAATCACGTCATTGTATATGAGATTGGTGTGAAATTATACCTTTAACGTCACGATGACATAGAATCACAAAAAGAATATTCGTTGAAAAATACTTATACAAAGAGGAGCACGAATGTAACACTCCGTATTTGATAAAAGAGGAGAATATACGAGAAAAATCATATTATAAAAGACTAATTATAAAATTTACTCATTGATTCGCTCACTGAACACAATTTACTAGAACTAACCATAAACTTTATGAGAATACTAAGGATTTCTCTATTTTCCGAACAAGGAGAACTATGCCGCACTGGAGAGGGCTTGAAGCTCATGACGGATGAATACGGTTGAAAATGAACGTTGATTCAGATAGAGTAAAATCTACGGAGTTTAATAATTTAAGTTTTCCATCAGAAATCTTTATTGTTATAGTCAATACAAGATGTCCTTGTTGATGTCTCCTTTGTCAAGTTGAGTCGCATTTTACTGCTATCATAGTCTGCAAATATTGCATTTGGTCATAATCCTAACTCATAACCATAGTCATTATTGTTGTGTTATCCTTCAAGTTAATTTAACGTCAGAAAATTTTATTGGAGATACACTATACATTCTCAAAAATGACGGCCCGAGCCAAGGCTTTAATATATTATCATGTATTAAAACATTATAGTGATAATACACGATATGCTCTTCCGTCCATAAATTATCTTCCCAATTATTATTACATCTTAATAAATTATATTCTGTATTTGTTTGCATTTTTCATTAGTCATTTGATCAGAAAAAATATTTTTCTCACATTTTTTCAGAACTTTTGATGTAGTTTTAAACAATATATTTTTCTTTTTTATACACAAGTTTGTAAATAAAACAATTTTAAAAAGTAATGGAGTTTACACGTTGTTCGAAGTAGGAAGATAAAAATTTGACAAAGATCAGTGAATATTCAAATAATTATATCCAATGATCAATTTTTTCATATTAAAATTATTACTCTCTCGGTCCCAAATTAAATTACTTGTCTACTATTCCTAGAGTCAAACTTCATTCACTTTCTTTATCTATTTTTGATAGTCATTTCATAAAATAATATACTAATATCACTACTAGTTTTGTAGATTCTTTGATGTAGTTTTTAAATACATAATTTTTATTTTTTCGTTCTATATCATTTTTCATATAAAATGATTTGAAAATAACTTAATTCAAACATCCTAAATCAAAATAGGTAATTTAAATTGAGACAGAAAGAGTATAAAAAAATTTCTAAAATAATTCCAACTTTATCAATTATTATTTTTAAAAAATCACGTGTTACAAGGGTGGATAATAATCTCATTTGGGTGAATGGCTTAAAATTCTCTAAAGATCGACGGGGACCTTACCTTGGTGCCCGTTGTCTTGATACCGAGCAGTAGCTTGCCGGAGGATATTGACATCATTCATCCTGCTCTTTCGGGACAGACCGAGAGCATTCCTCGTAAACTCCGATAACTTTCAGACTTTAATTTACGGCTGATGTGGCCCAATTTGGAAGTGAGTTAGTCTCGATTACGGTACGAGGCATCCTTGTTCATCGTCCCAAATAACTTCTCCTCGATACGATCCCACATCGCATCCTTCGTTGCTCGGAACCTTTAAAAAGTACTCCCTCTGTCCACCATAGATCTTCCCAATAGCCCTTTTTCTTTGTCCACAATAGATCTTCTCATTTCATTTTTTAACAAGTAAAATACCACAACTACCCCCACTTACTTTATTTATTACACCTCACCCACCTCATTTAATACACTTCACCCATTTTTCATTAAGGGTATTATGGTAAACTTTCACCTTTTTTCAACTCTCCTTAAAAACCACCAAAAGTCAAAATGAGAACATCTTAGGCGGACGGAGGGAGTATATAATTGATGAACGCGAAAAAATATTTAAACACAAATATATAAATAAGAACACTAATATATTAACGAAAGGATGCTCGGAGACGTCAACCCAAGCCGACGCCAACAGTGATTTTTCCTTCGGCGTCCACTTTTGAATTGACCGTGTCCACCGTGGCACCTCGGTCATCGGTTTGTCGTCTTTCACTTTGCATTGTGACTCTTCCGGCATGTACTTTTTTTGTTCTGGTCGGTGCAATTGCTTTCGGTTAAGTCTCCGGAACCGACTTTGGGTCACCGAGGTTCACCGATGTTTGTATTTTGAACCGCGACGGATTATTCTCGTACACTTCCAACAACAACAAATGGAATATTTTTGTGCGCTCGGGAGAGCCACATCCCGTACTCGTTTGTAGCCCTTAATGATTGAGTTTCATCCACGTTTACTCCTTTGTCTATTCTTCTATCTCAGTATTGTTAGACAAAGACTAAATATGGAATGACAACCAATCAATCAGAACTTCAAATATAAAAAAGAGGAGTTATCATCTTGCACCAACTCAATTGTTGTTACCCCAATTCAATTAGAACACCTACGATGCACAAAACGTAGAATTGGTTCTTCCTACCCTTAACCCTCTGGTAAACCCCATAGTCTGCTCCGTCCCCAATGCACGCCCGAAACTCTTCCAATTTTATTACATCATATTTGGGTCTAAAATTTGACATGAAAATCAACAAAATTTGGTGCAATGAAATTGGCGGGGTGCGTTGAGGACGGGGCGACTAGGGAGGTTTATTGTGGGAATTAGAACGATAGGTTCACTCAATTTTACGATCGAACTATCGTAGTTCCTCCCATTAAATTGCTCTAACAATCTTACACCAGGCCAACAAAATGGTACTCCCTCCGTTCCTAAATAAATTTCCCCTTTCGTTTTTTCTTTGTCCCCAAATAAACTTCTCTTTTCCCTTAAATAACCCCTTTTACCCCTTACTTTTTCATACCCTACCTATCACATCATACTTTTTTACTAATAATCTACATATCACATCTTACTTTTATACATCACATTAAGGGTATTTTTTGGAAAGTCAACACAAAAATATCCCTCCCTTAAATTCTCAAAAAGTCAAAAAGAGAAGTTTATTTAAGGACGGAGGGAGTATAAGATTACCCCTCCTCAAAAAACCTTTACAGATATTTATTTAACGATATTTATTTTTATTTTTTTGAAATATCCAAATAAAGAGGGGAACATTTATTTTGAGACAAGGCTTAAATACCTTTTAGCATAATTCCAGTCCATGCAGCATGCATTGGACGATTCAAGTGGTTTAGAAGCATTATTAAAACTTATTAAACCCTTTTTCAAAGCGCTTTTATGTGAGGGAAATTAAACAACCTTTTCCATCAGCATTTTTATGATATGTTATGTTGGGGATTGACATTAAATATGCTAATACCAAACACGAGGATTGTTTAATTACATACCTTTTTCAAAAAGTTGAAATTGTAGCTAGCCACACTTGAACAAATTGTAGCATGTGGGTTATTAATAGCCAGCCAGCCAGCTAGCTGGCAGCAACAACAACAATATTAATGAATAGTACGAGTTAGTACTTAATTGTAAGGCTTTAGTCCACGTACAAAAAGCATGCATATATGCTTTCCCATGCATCTATATATATATATCTATCTGTATATATATATATAGGCACTGCCCCAATAACAAAATCAACATTCAACAAATAAGATGGGTTATTTCTTACTTGGTGGCAGACGCACTCTTATGCTTTCTCTATGCCTTATTTTTGTGATGCATAACTTCGCAGCTGATGATGGTATGTAGTACCTTAATTCATCTCATTATATATTCTCAAAACGTTATTATTATTATTATTATTATTATTATTATTATTATTATTATTATTATTATTATTATTATTATTATTATTATTCGTTGATGAAAAAGGTTTATTTTTAATTTATTTCTTTATTATTATTATTATTATCGGTTGATGAAAAAAAAAAGGTTGCGTTGTTCCGTTCAGGGGTTAGCACTGGACGACGAAAAGTGCTGTTTTATCCATTTTTCCCGTGCGGGGAAGCGCCGTGTAGAAGGGAAGATGTTTGCGGCGAGTCGTGCGTGAAGAAGGGTGGCTCCTGCCTCTTCCAGCATTTCAATGTTCCCACTATTTATTGTTGTTGTTACTATAAACCCAAAAATTAAAAATGGTTTTATTATTTATTAAGTAATGCATTACGAAGTGGAGTGTATATATATATATATATATATATATATAATCCCAAATGAAACCAATTAAGGGACATACTTTTTTAGTGGTTGTGTATGTTGTGTGTGCATGTGTCTTTGTTTATTAATTTTAAGCCTTTTATTAATTAAGAGGGATGTTTATGTAGTGCTTTATTTGTGTTTATTTGGGATATCATTGCATTGATTTTTAGTGAAAATGAAGTAGTCAAATAATTAAGTCCACTAAACCATTTTTTCTAGTAGTACATATAGTGTTTCCTTCTTTCACATATTTTAATTGTTAATTTATTAAAATAAAATAGTCAAATTACTTGATATTTTTTGTGTAGCTTTAGAGATTATTTCAAAAGTCTTAAATTAAATTTCCCTTTTTGATTTACAATATTTAAGTGAAATTATTTTTTTAATTCAATATACCTAAAATTGGAGAAGAAGTTTAAAAAATGCAAAGTACATCATTAAAAATAACATCAATTTTTTTACTCTTTAATTATAATTCAAAAAAACCCCTGTCACAAATGACTAATTATAAAATTTACTCTTTAATTTTTTAAAAAAAGTATTCACCATTTTTACATTTTATTTCTTTTCAATACATACATGTGCATATATGTGTTTTCATTGATTATTTGATAAAAGAAAATAATCTTGTCATATCTTGTTTTGTAGAACTTTTGACGTTTTTTAATATGTAACTTTTTTATTGATTACCAATTTGTAAATAAAATAATTTCAAAAATCGAGAAATTTTGCCTCATAACTTTCAATTTGTAATTAAATTAGGGATGGATGGACTACTTTCAACAAATTAAATCTAATAAAATAGAGTGTTATGAATGCTTAGGATAGTAAAAGCCACATGTGGCCCAAACGGCGTGTGACATGGATCTTTTAATAAAATAATTTCTTCATGATAAATTTTGTTTTTGTGAATTTTTTTCTAAAATTTTTAAATATATAATTTTTTTAAAATTTTTATATTAGTATTTAAATAAATTGAAAATAGCATCAAACACTCCACTATTTTTATCCAAAATGGATGTGTAAACTATATATACATAATTATAAACTTGAATGAAACGACTAAGGGGTGGTGGCGCAGTTGGCTAGCGCGTAGGTCTCATAGCTTCTGAGTTATCCTGAGGTCGAGAGTTCGAGCCTCTCTCACCCCATTTCTTTTCTGCTCATTTTTATTTTTATTTTTATTTTTACAGTAGTTGTACTTGTTTTTGCCACACAATTGCAATGATTCATTCTAAAACTGAAAACCCACACAAATAAATCAGCAAGAAATCGGATAAAATAGCGTAGAGGTCTTTATATTATCTAAAAATGTTTAAATTACAAAACATTTTTATAATCGAATCAATTTAAAATTATAAAACATTTTTATAATCGAATCAATTTCATTTTTGTACTATTTATTTTTGCTCAATCAGGCAGGCTCTTCCATTCACTTGTCTCTTAAATATTACTCCAAAATTTTAATGATGACGCCAAACTTTACTATATATGACATGAAAGTGTTGTATTGACATGTTAATTCATACTCTCTCCGTCCCTAAATAAACTTCCCCTTTCGTTTTTTCTTTGTCCCCAAATAAACTTCTCTTTTCCCTTAAAAAACCATTTTTACCCCTTACTTTTTCATACCATACCTATCACATCATACCTTTTTACTAATAATCTACCTATCACATCTTACTTTTACACATCACATCAAAGGTATTTTTGGAAAGTCAACACAAAAATATCTCTCCCTTAAATCCTCAAAAGTCAAAAATGGAACTTTATTTAGGGACGGAGGGAGTACTTATTTTCATTTATATTTAACTAAGAACAAGATACATTTATTTATTTTCTTTCATGAAAAAAATTAGGGAAAAAATAATTTATTATATAATGACTAAAATTAGATTAGAAGCATGCATTATTGTGTTAAGCAATATTTCTATGTATTGTTTGATATCCTTAAAAATTTAGGACAATGTATAAGAAACAGGTGAATAAAAAGACCTGATTGAACAAATATAAATAGTAAAGGGACTAAATTGATGTAATTTTAAGTCCAAAGAATAGTTTGACCATTTTTAGATAATATATAGACGAATCACAAATTGAAATTTCAGTTGTGTGGTCGCCTCAAATATAAGTTACAACTTACAATCACAAATTGTGTGTGAATGAAGAATGCGACATAAAATAAGCAAATAGGACAACCAAACCAAGATGTCGCACTAAATTATGTACATTTGATTCTTGTGTAGTAAAATTCCATTACAAATGGTACAAAATTTCAAAAGTATGCTTAAAAAAATTTATTGGCATTAAATATTTTCTCAGTCTCTCAAAGCATTTCATGTCTTGAATTTTGAGAAGAAAACTTGTAGAACTTTTTTAACCAATGTGAAATAATGATGACTGAAATAAGTAGGGTCTAAAATATGTCAAATGAGTATAACGTAAAAAATAGTTGAGATAGGTTTATTTATATTTCAGATAAAAAAGCATTTATTTTCATTTAGGCTAAATATATGGAAATGTTGCTTTACGAGGAATAAGAAGTAGTGAGTATGAATGAAAATTTTTATGGAACAGAAAAAGTATATAGTAGTACTGGAATATACTTCCTCTGTCCCTCATAGATCTTCTCAATAGCCCTTTTTCTTTGTCCACAATAGATCTTCTCATTTCATTTTTTAACAATTAAAATACCACAACTACCCCCACTTACTTTATTTATTACACCTCACCCACCTCATTTAATACACTCCACCCATTTTTCATTAAGGGTATTATGGTAAACTTTCACCTTTTTTCAACTCTTCTTAAAAACCACCAAAAGTCAAAATGAAAACATCTTAGGGGGGCGGAGGGAGTATCATTTTATGTGTATATTATGGTTAACATCTGATCATAAATATTAATTAAAAAAATACTAAGAGGAAGGGAGAGAGCAAGTGACTAAAGAGTTAGTGGCTCTGCCCTTATGAGATATTCTTATTTTGACTTTTTTCGTTTCTTAATGTAGTTGAAAAAAAAAGGAAAATTTACCAAAATACATTTAATAAAATGGATAGAATATATTAAATAAGTAGTGAGGTGTAATAAATTAAATAAGTCAGTATAATTATGATATTTTAAATGCTAAAAAGACTAATAGAAAAATTTGTGAGACAAATAAAAAACAATAATGGAAAATGGATATGGATGAAGGGAGCATTTATAAAGAGCCATGCATCCAAAAGACCTCAAAAGAGAACCATCCCACACACAAATGATGACCAATAATTCAGATTTGTTCAACAACAATTCCTTCACCCAATTCCATGCACCCACAATCACACTAATCCTTTTTCTTCTTCCTCTTCTACTACTCTTCATTTATAACTACCTCTTCTCCGGCGGCCCAAACAACTCCCCCCTCTACCTCATCGACTTCTGCTGCTACAGGCCGCCGGACCACCTGCGGATCTCGACGGCGCAGTTCATCGAACACGGCCACTCCTGCGTGTCCCGGAAAGACCAGCAGTCGTTTGACTTCTACGCGAAGTCCGCGGCGCGGTCGGGGATAGGCGGCGAGGCGTGCGCGCCGCCGGTCATGCACCAGCTCCCGCCGGACTTCTCCCTGAGGCCGTCGAGGGAGGAGGCGGAGGCGGTGCTCTTCGCGGTGGTGGAGGAGGTGCTGGGGAAGTGTGGCGTACGGCCGGACAGCGTGGACGTGCTCGTCTCTAACTGCAGCCTCTTCTGCCCCACCCCTTCCATTACTTCCATGATCATCAACAGGTTAACTTATTATTTCTCAAAACTATATCCTAAAAAGTCAAATGAAAAAAATGGGATAGAGAGGGAATATAATAAGTCTATACCCAAAGAAAAAACAATATTAGACCTTATGTCTGTCCGGTATAGAGTAAAAGCTTCGTCACAGTGATAGTGTTTAATTTTAAAGTTCACAAAATTCATCTAGGTTTTAAACAAAATGGTCCAACACGTTACTTAACAGGTTTAAGTTCAGAAGCAACGTGAAGAGCTTCAGCCTGAGCGGAATGGGGTGCAGCGCGGCGATGGTGGCGATGAGCGCAGCTCGAGATGTGCTCAAAGTGAACAAGAACTCGGTGGCGTTGGTGGTGAGCATGGAGGCGATCACCCCCAACGGATACTTAGGGAACGACAAGTCCATGATCCTCACCAACACCCTCTTCAGAATGGGAGGCGTGGCCGTCTTGTTGTCCAACCGGAGGCGGGACTGTAAGACGGCGAAATACAAACTGTGTCATCTGGTGCGGACCCACATGGGTGCCGACGATGATTCCTATCGCTCAGTGTACCAGACTAACGACGATTTGGGGTTTCAGGGCGTTTTTCTCTCCAGAAAGCTTCTCCAAGTTGCAGGAAAGGCACTGAAAACCAACATATCGAAGCTCGGCCCGCGCGTTCTACCGTTATCCGAACTCGTCCTCTATGCATACGCGACGACCAAAAGGAGAATCTCGAAGAAGGGGGACGCGTTCGTGCCGAATTTCAAGAAGGCTTTCGAGCATTTCTGCATCCACGCGGGGGGAAGAGCTGTGATTGATGCAGTTGAGGAAAGCCTCAAGCTAAGCAAAGAAGACGTGGAGGCCTCGAGAATGACACTTTACAGGTTCGGAAACACTTCGTCTTCCTCAGTTTGGTACGAGCTTTGCTACCTTGAAGCTAAAGGGAGGATCAAGAAGGGCGATCGGGTGTGGCAGATCGCATTTGGGAGCGGGTTTAAATGTAACAGTGCTGTTTGGATGTGTGTTTCGGAGCTTGACCCGAGTCCGAATAATGCATGGTCTGATAGGATCCATAGGTATCCTGTGGAAGTTCCAAAGGTTTTAGATCATTGACAAATCTTACCTTTGGATAGCAGCAACGTGTCTATGTTGTCGGAAAACAAAACAAATAATAATGTGAATGACAAGACAATAAATTGGTTTCATGTAGTCTAATAAAGTTCACTAATGGGAGATGGCAGATTATTGTATACAATATGGTGAGAATGGGAGATGAATAATAGTGATTTTGGATGCCTTACCATTGAAGAAGTCTTTTTTTTATAGTTTATGATTGGTTCAGAATTGTTTTTCTCACTTATCTCGCAATCTCCCCATATTCTACAGGCATACATAAAAACTCATATGACGAAAAAAAATGATTTACGGAGAATAAGTTTTGGACTATGTTTGGTTCAAGGAATTTGAAAGGGGAAAAGAAAAGAAAATGAGGTGGAAAACAATTTTTTCTTGTTTGGTTAGAGACAAAAAGAAAGAAAAAGTGGAAAGAAAAAAAATTGAGAAGACAAAATGAGGAAACCAAATATGAGAAAATCATTTTCATTTTTTTTCATTCCAAATTCCTTGAACCAAACATATCCATGATGCATCAGAGCTTTAATGGCTGAGTTTAACACTTTGTTTTTCTATGAAATATTGACATTAACATATCTGTGATACTCTCACCAGTCACAACAGAAGTGCACAAGAAAGGGCCAATATTGGTGTTGTGTTTGTTTACAGAAAAGCATCCTTCTCCAGAAGCTTTAGGACGTCTATTTGGTCATTCAGTATGGCGACATCCATGGGTGTCTTCCCGTCCATGTTTCGAAGAGTGCTGCCAACGAAAGGACACCAAAATTAACGTAAAAAAATGTTTCCATAATTCTAATAATCTACCAAACGGGGAATTGAAAAAAATGGACTCACACAGCAGCGCCGTACTCCAGCAGAAGCACAACACACTCCTTCCTTCCATATCCGGCAGCGTAGTGGAGAGCCGTATTCTTATTCTTGTCCAACGCATCCACTTTCGCCCCCACCTCTAGAAGAATCCGAACACACTCCTCCTGTGGAGAGCACGTATATTAGGACCAACCGGTTTACAACTTTACACTACCAATTTTGGACCTAATAGGTAGGTGATCATGTTATTTCTTCAAATTTTGATAAAAGCTTGAATATGTTCAAGATATAAAATAGACACTTCAAACCACTCCCATCCAAAAAAAACCCCATCCATACATACCCTTAGAAGTCTGGATTGAACAACATGAATTTTCCCCCTTCCAAAATTGTTAATAATTAGGAGTGCATTGAACAAAACCAGACTAGCTTGTGCTAACATATGCCCTGCATATCGACATAGCATATACTCCCTCAGTTCCACAAAACTCTTCCTCTTTCGTTTTCTTGCTTTCCACAAAACACTTCCACTTTCTATTAAAAAACCACTTTTACCCCTACTTTTTCATACCCTACCTATTACATCATACTTTTTCACTAATAACCAAACTATCACATCTTACTTTTTCGCATCACATCAGGGGCAAAATTGGAAAGTCAACCAAAATTACACTTTCCTTATTTTTCCCCAAAGTCAAAATCGGAAGGGTTTTGTGGAACGGAGGGAGTAGTTTCTTGAAAACTAATTTAGTTTATTTTTTGGGGTAGGTGGGTGGGGCTATTGCTTTTACAGCTAGAGTGTGACTTCTTCTAGCATTCAGAAAATGATGAGTAAAAAGCCAAACATCACCAAACAAAGCAATGACTAACCTCCCCGTATCCACAGGCAAAATGCAGTGCTGACCTTCCCTCTGAATCTGCTTCATCTCTGTCACCACCAGCAGCGAGTGCTTTCTTCAAACCCTAAAAGCTCACTCAAAAGCCAAGTAAAATCTTTATTAGAATGGAAACCATATCTACAAATGCAAATGAGTAATATGCAACAATTTATTTATACAAAATAAGATTGTTCTTTTTGTAATTACTTGAGCAACATTCAGAATTCATTTGAAAAAGTACCTCCACATCCCCAACACTGGCGTAGTTATGAACGGTCAATTCATCTTCCTCATCCACATCCCCAACACTGGCGTAGTTATGAACGGTCAATTCATCTTCCTCATTCACTTCTTCAGTTTTGTCTGGGACATTTTTGCCTGAAATACTTGTTTCCTCAGCATCAGCAAAGCCCATTGCTTCACCCAATTTCTTTAGAACATCCTTATCATTCCAATACCTAGATTAGTAAGCACAACTACTCATTAACTGTCATAAAATCTCCATTTCATGATGCTTTTTCGATTGGGAACTAGCTCCATTGTATAACATCATCGGCATCAGCCCATCACCTCCCAGGCCCCCAACTACTTGGGATTGGTGGCATGCAATTTGTAGTGTTACTTAAATGTCAAAAACTAGCTATCGTTGTAAATCCATGGAAACAAAAGATATAGGGGCCAAGTTTTATGGGAAATGCCCATCCTTTCTAAGATTAAGGGCAGTACCGCTATCATCATACGTAATTTACACTTGCATTGAAAAATTTTGTGAGACAATATTGATATGATATAATTGCTATCGGCATTTCCCATTAAAGATTGATATTGTAAAATCAACAAGTATAATTGTGAATTATGGAATATGAATGCACTCCTTCGTACTCCATAACACAACCCACAAAATTACATATCTCGCCATGATCACCATTTTCCTTGAACATCTTGAATAAAAAAGAATATATATGTGCTAAATTTTAATAGATATGGTCATTAATAACCTCATCATTGCAGCCGGACCCCCGCGTTCTATCTCTTCCAGGATCGTCTTCAAAGATGGATCTTCTTTGGCGTGTGCAATTTGTTCTTCAAATTGGACACCCTGAGCAGGATTTGAAAACCTTTCAAGCATATTGGACATTCTTGGATCCTGACAAATATAAGGGAAATAATTTAAGCCACTCAGGTAAAGGAACATTCAATGATGAAAATAATTAGAGACCTAGATGATGTGATTACATTAAACCTGCACCAATGCATTTCCAAGTCGCTCAGTCATTGTCATAAACTCTGGATTTTGCATAACTTGCTCCATTGTTGCATAATACTGCTGGGGATCAAAGTGTGGAATCCCGCCTTCAGAAGCTGCACCCTGAAAGGTCTTTTGAAGGTTTTCTGCCATGTCATTGAATGAAGGATCTCTTGCTATCTGTTCAGCTAGATCTTTAATGCTTGGATCCTACATTATCATTAACCATATAAGGAACTGATAAAAATGCAGACATGTTATCCACTAAGGACAGAGATCGAAGGATAGCATTTACACATCATTCATGGCTATTACTCCGTACAGATTTAGATAGTATGAGTACTAGAGAAAATAATTATATTGAAAATCAAGTCTATGAGCTCCAAAATTGCATTTATTTGAATCTCCTTCTCCCTTCGCACTCAATGGTCCCTCAGACCTCAAGTATAACGCGAAAAAAAAACATATAGATTTTCCATCATGTGAAGGGACCAAAATTAAACGGAGTACTTGAACTTATCAAATATCAAATAAAAGGCAACTCATACATTAAGGAGGCCAGACAATGCTGAGAAATCAAAAGGATTTTCCAATCCAGGTCCGTCTAGAGGGGCAGCATTTCCTTGTCCAGATAGAGTCACAGCGGAACTGGATTTGGTAGACTTCTTATCGTCAGTTGAACTTGTTCCCGACATCTCACCTGAAGGAAAAAAGTATGCATCAACTCATTAAGATGCTAAACTCTGTCAAGTTCATGATCTGTGCTATTTCTATTCAACATGCTATGATGATATCTTTGCATGAATTTATAATGTTAACTAATCCTTTCTCTATATCAAGCGGAAACCTATGATGATAATAACAGATTTATAATTTCACCTCTTCAGTTCTTCTTACAAAAAAGGAATTCCAAAGTGAACATAAATGTTGTATATATTCCTTCAGTTCATCCTCTACTACGAGAAAAAACAGAAGTAAATACTCAAAATGTGCAAATAGCAATCCGGCTCTTCAACGATCCAGTTAATTAAAGCTCAATCATGAAGCGAATTAAAGCATTTAGGTATCCGAAACACTAAGCAGATGAATATGATGATGATACGATTAGATTGAAATCAAAAAGGAAGAAATGCTTGAATTTGCAGGGATAAAGTTGAAAAATTACGTCAGATATATCTGGTGAGAGGCCGATTGAGCGAGAACGGAAAGCGCGCGAGAGAGTCTCTTCTTCTTCTTCTTCTCCTTCTCTTCTTCTTCGTCTGCAGGTTTCCTTGCTCGAATCGCACTGTGTTGTTTTAAAATAGCGATTCGTCCGCATTCCGTACAGCTTGAAAGACGTTAATGGGCCCCCGATATATTAGCGAAGCACGTTTCGTGTTGATTCTTGGGCGTATTGGGCCGCTGATAATGCTAACAGAAGATATTTAATGAGATTTCTCTTCCTTCAAAACAAGTTTAAAGTGCTAGTCTTTAACTTTCTAATACACTTAGGGTCCGTTTGGTATACGGAATTGGTAGAATTGGAATTGAATTGGAATTGGAATTGAAATTCCATGGGATTCAATTCCATAGAATTGAATTCTGCCAATTCCAATTTATTTTTTGCACTATCAATTCCAAATCCACATAATTTTTGTGCTACCAAACACCAGGTTTGGAATTGAAGTCCTCAATTCCAATTCCATAGTTTGAATTTCATATACCAAACGGGACCTTATTAAATTTCGTGAAGTCATGTTAGGAACTTAGAGAAAAATATTTTGCTTCATTTCTCTATCTTTAAGGCCGATGGGTGTAGAGCCAAGAAAGCGATCAAAGACGTGAGGCGGTGGTTGATCCATATTGGAAACATTGCACCCTCCCTCGGCGTTTGGTATGCTTGGCTTGGCATACGCATCCCGATTATCCTGAAAGCTTCCTTTTCGTGCAGTTGACCTTCTTCTTCCTCTCCCGCCATGACAATCATGAAACTTCCCCCCCACACACCTTGTGTAGTCGTCTTTGCTGAGATAACCGTTGAAAAGATCATGAGCACATAGTATTACCTAATATCGATGATCGTATTAAAATTTCAAATATGCATTAACTATAGTAGCTTTATAGTTTTGATGGATTAAAATCTATCACATTTATCTTTCTCTTATGTCACCATTATAAAAAAGGAGATGTATGAGTAAATTGATATAAAAAATACAAAAATAAAAGTAACATAGTTTGGATTTTCTAAAAAAATGTTGCTAAATTCACCTTCATTATGACTGAATTCACTCTATTTATGGTGAAATGTACAACTTTGCCGTTAAAACATAAAGAATGATATTAAATGTTAACCAACTTTTAAGGGCAAAATTATATAGTTAACACAAATGAATTGGAGTGGATTTAGCAATAATATGGTAGATTTAACAACACACTTTTCTAAATTATAGTATAATGACAATAAGGTAACAATATAAGAATATGATGACAATGTGGCGCATGGACGACATGATAGTGTAATGGTGGACCATGGTTGCAATGTGGTGGAGGACTACCTGTCAACCGCGGTCAACATTGACAACAAATGGCAATGTGGATTGTAACAGTATATTTTTATTTAGATTTTAAAAGACCAAATTCTGGCTTTAATATACTTATACTCTGTACAATTTTATCCTATTTAGAAAGTTATCACAATAGAAACCATCCTAAATTATATTAAAACATAGAAAAAAGTATCAAAATATAAGTTTCATGTTTTTATTCTCGAAATAGGATTTCGCACAATGATAATGTGGTTGTAGTGTGACACTGAACATGTGCACATCACTATATTTTTTAGTATTGTACATGACCACGTTTAATAATGTAAATGCATTTTAATCGTTTCGATTTCGAAAATAAAAACATGAAAGTTCTAAATTTTACTCATACTTTTTTCTCCTTCTCTCAAAGTAAAAGTAAATCTAACGAAATCACAAAAAGATTTTTCGTTGAAAATTTAAAATTTCACAATAAATTTCATTAATAGTAGTGGATTTACTCGATTTCCAAAATCAGTTAATCTCAAATGTGTTGCAAATATACCATAAAAGTCGTTTTCAACTCGATTGCTTATATAAGTAAATTAATTTATGGTTGAATAAAATTCCATAAAAGTCCCTAGCTTATTTTTATCCCACCTTTTTCATATTTAGCACTTTCTTTAGTAACGTACAAATTAAAATAAGAAACTTTTTATGAAATTTGAAGAAAAAAAATTAGGTCAATATTTTTTTTAGAAAAACTCCTAGAGTCATTTAACATTAATACGGAGTATAAAACAGAAAACAGAGGAATTTATTATGTTCGCGGGATTCCTATCCATTGATTTTGACCGGAAGAAAAAAAATAAATAAATCGGGAGAGTGGGAAACGAAACGGCCAAAGATGAAGCTGAAATGGGCGGCGGCGGCGGCGCATCTGGTGGCGCTGGCGATCCTCGTGCGGCCGGAGAAGGGGGCGGCGATGTGGTTTAATTTGCCGGCGGGCGGGACAAAGTGCCTCTCCGAGCAAATCTATAGCGGCGTGCTCGTTTTGGGAGAGTACTTTTCTTTCTCCGGTTCCGACGGCTCCCCCGCCATGACTGTCCAGGTTTGTCTTTTTTAAATTTATTTTAATTCTAAATTTGTACGGTGTGATAGAAATTTAAAAAAAAAATACTATGATCAATGAATATATCTTTTGTGGGTACAAATAATATACAACGCCATCAAAGTTGAATATCGTCATTTTGAGATTGAAATATAATTTGTCCATCTAGATTTAATTTTCGCATTTTGGGTTGGTTTATGATAGTTTGGTTCAATATTTTCATAAGTTCAAGAATAAAGTGCTCTAAATGAAAATCAAATCTTATTGGGATAACAAAATTATGGTTCTAAAATAAAAGTCATGGTACAATATATAATAATTGGTTGAAATTATTTTCAATTCATATTTTTTTTCAATTTTTCGTAGATTGAAATACTAAAAAAAAAAAGTATCAAAGACATAAACTATATTATTTACTCATATTAACAATGAAAATATATTCAAAATTAGATATATTTGATCATGTGAATAATAATTCAGTCATTTATTTGAATCAAATCATACCAAAAAAGATTAAATCATTAACTAATTAATCAAGTTCACTCGAGATTTTATTAACTCATTTTTCTCTAGTTTTGCAATATATACTTTGATAAAATATAGTGAAAATTGACCACTCTTTTGTTAAAAATAATGGAATTTCCTTTAGTCTAATGGTAGAAAATTTTAAGTGAAATTTGCACTAAATAATTTTCATAATTTTTTGTACCTTTAGACTAATATTAAATAATTAATAATTACAACGATTTAGGGAATTAAGTACTCCGTACTATATTGGGAAATAGCTACGCACTATCATTTTTTTGAACAACACTATCATTTAGTACTCTCTCTGTTTCAAATTAAATTGCATATTTACTATTCATAGAGTTAAATTTCATTCATTTTCTTTTCCTTTTTTTGTTATTAATTTGATAAACTACCATATTAATGTCACATCTAGTTTTATAAATCTTTTAATCTAGTTTTTAAATATGTATTTTTTATTATTTAACTCTATATTGTTTTTTAAAATGATTTGTACATCGAAACGGACAGTTTAAATTGGGAGTCGTATTTAGTAAATGAGGAATGCTAGGGGTACACCATTTGGTGTACCCCATTTGTCCCCCACCCATTTCTCCACCATACAATTTTTTTTTATTTTTATTTGTTTAATTTTTTTTATTTTCTTGCCTTTTTTGTGGTGATGGAGGGGTTGTGGGACAAATGAGGTACACCTTTGGTGTACCCCTAACATTTTTCTTAGTAAATTTAACGAAGTTTAATTTTAGAAGTAATTCTCTAGGGCAAAACTCCGAAAAATGCTAGGGGTACACCAAGGTGTACCCCATATGTACCCCACCCCCTCCTTGTCCACTAAAAAAGGCAAAAAAATTTAAAAAAAATAAGTAAATAAAAATCAAATAAAAATGTGTGGTGGAGAATGGCGTGGTGTACATTTGGGGTACACCTTTTGGTGTACCTAGGCTTGCTCCAATAGTCCACATGGGCTGACTTTCTCATCCGTGTTTTAAATGAGACTTTGACCAAGACCATAATTTATTTGAAAAAGTAGTCTCCCGCTTTTACTTTTTTTTCCAACAAAAATCATAATCCAAAAAGTTAGAACGCATTATTTTATTAAAAAATTGGTATATAAATAAAAATTACATATTACATATTTAAAAGCTACATTACAAGTTCCACAAAATAGAAAATGACAAAAATATTTTAATATATTAAATGATCAATGAAAATATGCAAATAAACAAAAGTTATTGAAAAATCATAATAGTAAAGGGGTAAATCATTTTGGCACAAAGAGAGTAATTAAATAAATACTGCATGATATATTATTTAAGTAAAAAAAATTTACAAGATAAATCTAATAAAATCACGTAATAATAATTTTAGTTGAGCTGATATATTTTAACAAATTGCAGGTAAAATCGCCATTAGGGAACATACTCTATGAAAAGGATCATGTGAATAATAACGTGACGGCGGGACGGTTTAGCTTCACGACGACGACGGAGGCCGCCGGGCTTTATGTTATATGCTTTCGGAGTTACCGTACAAGTGTAAACAGTACGGTTTCCCTTGATTGGAAAATTGGCATCTTTGCAAAGGACTGGGATTCCATTGCAACAACTGAGAAAATTGAGGTCAAACCATTTACTCTCTCTCTCTCCTTTTTTTAATTGTTCATTTCATTTTTTCTTTTTGATCAATAATAGGAAAACAACAACAATGACAAACCAATAAATGTAGGATCTGGGTAGAATGTATGAAAAAAATAATTTCCAGTACTGTTTTGTAGTTGTTAAGAAACCAACTAATTCATCCAAAAGCGCAAGTTTTTAGGCTTGGAAAAGTACATTTATGGTTGATTCAAGACTTGCATTTGAAACCTGAATTTTTTTTAATACTTAGGCTCCGTTTGGTACATGGAATTCAAACTATGGAATTGGAATTGAGAACTTCAATTCCAATTCTGGTGTTTGGTAGCACAAAAATAATGTAGATTTGGAATTGATAGTGCAAAAAATGAATTGGAATTGGTGAATTTAATTTTATGGATTTGAATCCCATGAAAGTTCAATTTCAATTCCATATACCAAACGGACCCTTAATGTTAGTGAATTTTGAACTCGCGACTTCTTGATTAACAAGACTTCGATATAATTTGTCTATTACTCTGTATCTAAAAGTAGTCGTATAACATGCATGGTCCAAAGATCTTACGAGTAAAATATAAGATCTTTCTTGGACCATCGGCCGCAAAAACTTTAGCTTTTGATTGATTTAATTACTTGACATCCATGATATCAGAGTCTTGTAAATCAGTCGTCGCATTTTCAAAATTCTTGTTCACATGCAATAAAAAAGAAGCTTTGTATGCACGTAATAAGACATGTTAAAGTATAAAATATTTATAAAGTATAGCTTTGTGAAATTTGCACTAAATAGTACTAAAACCTATGTCTTTTCCCAATATAGTACCTACAATTTTTTATTTTCTAAATAGTACTTGAATAATGTCTAATGACAGGAACAATAATGTCGAGTAGCGGGAACAATAATGTCCAGTGATGCTGGACATTTACTTTGAACAATGTCCAATGGCGTTGGACATTTACTTGAACATTGCTCTATGAACATTGAATCATAGTACTACATTGGAAAATAAAAATATATATTGCTATATTAGAAACTCATTGTGTTTTAGTACTATATATGTGAGTTCTCTTATATCTTTTGACAAAAAAATACATTTTGTATTTAAAAAGTTCACCAAGTATTGAAAAATGTTGTAATCCCTTCGGTCCAAAAAGATTTACACGTTTCAAAAAAATTGTGTCTCATCATCCCTTACCCATTTCTATTAAAAAATCACTTTTACCCCTTACTTTTTCAGACCTTACCTATCACATCATACCTTCTTCCTAATAATCTACACATCACATCCTACTTTTACCCTTCACATCAAGGGTATTTTTGGAAAGTCAACACAAAATTATCCTTCTCTTAATTTCAACTTTAGTCAAAATGGGTAACACTTTATGGGACGGAGGGAGTATATGGTTCAATTTCTTGAAAATCATGAAAATGGAGTTCTTCTATATATAGTTCTATACCATTTCTAAGAGAATTTTTTTTTCCCTTTTTTTTTGCAAGAAGTGCAGGGACTCGAGCTGGAGCTGAGAAAGCTTGAAGAAGCAACAAAGGCCATCCGCCAAAGTACACTCAATCTCATGATAAAGTACTCTTTCTAACTTAATTTGCAAATTTATTAACCTACATACATGCATACGTACACATACTTCCTCTGCCCCGAATTAGTTCACAAGGTACGAAAAAGCGTTCAAAAAATAAAGAGTATAATTATAAATGGCATATTTCTTGCTTTATCAGAAAAGAAATAACTATGAAGATTATTTTGAGACAATCTAAAAAGAAAAGTGAGAAGCTTAATTCGGGACAAATAGATCGAGTGCCCATAATGGTTGACACCGTTACACTAAAATCGCAATCGCAATCTCGTTGACACCGTTACACTAAAATCATTGAAAATACTGAGAATGTCTATAATAGAATTGTGTTAGCTCTATATGTAATTTTATTTCTTTTAATTAATTAATTAATTAATTAATTAAATTCACATATTACGTGTGTATCTGATCAGGGATGTAAGAATGCAGAGGATGAGTAACAAGACAAATGCGAAGGTGGCAAGATACAGCCTCGTTTCCCTGGGAGTCTGCATTCTTATTTCAGCTCTCCAAGTCTGGCAACTGAAGAGATTTTTCAGAAACAAGAGGCTTCTTTAAATTACTTAGGCCTCTTTCTTTTTGCCAAACAAGATTATAGGCAAGGATTATTTTTTTAAAAAAAATAATCTAGTGACAAAAATTACTGCCCTCAGTTGAGTAATTTTTGTTAAAGAGGTTGTGTTGAGAATTGATCACCTCATGTTGGATAATAAATACTTCATAAATATACAAATATACATCAGCATGTAATGTCCTGTTAGACAACTAGTGTCTGTGACAAAGGTGGTGTACACCACCCGAATACACCTAGTAGGACTCAATATCTGTTGGTTAAATTTCAAATAGTACATTTTTTTTGCATAATAAAACAGGCGAATACATACAGATACACATTCTTCCCAATTTGTAATGTGCATTTCATATTTTCGGGTCAAAATTTTATTCATTTTTTCCCACTACTTTCAATGCTTTATTTGATAAATGTTTCGAAGTATAATTTTAAAACATATGGAGTATAAATTTATTTTTTTATTCTTGCTATTTTCAAATAAAATAATTAAAAAATAACTTCAATCTAACATCATGAATCATAGCAAGTAATTTCATTAGGGGCAAAGGGAATAACAACCAAAGATTTGTTAAACAATGTATTAACGCAAATTATTCACATATTTTTGCCATATCTTTACCAAATATTTTAGTTAACAAATCATTATTTAGCTTATACGTAAAGATCCACCATGAGCCAAAGATCAATAAAAGAGTTTGCCCTAAAAAAATAACCCCCTTCCCAAAAAACTTAACTCTCATTTGTTTTATTTTCTTTTTAAATACTCGTAACAAATTTGGCCCGCAGCATTTCTCTATCATTTAAATAAATTCTAATCATACATTTATCATTTTTCAACACTTTGTCATTTTTTTAACCATTACATTAATCATAAAAATAAAACAGAATAAAGTTTATTAGGCCGAAGGGAATAATTTTCTGCATATCAACATGTCTCAGTTATGAATCCAACAATTTACTGAACACATACGTTTTCCAAATTGAGTTGCTAATAAAAACGAGTAGTAAATAATGACAAGACTCAAGTAAAACAATACAAAATATAAGTCAATTGAAATTTATAAATATCATCATAAAGCAGAATTTTTCTGGTTCTCACAAGTTGAAAAAAGAATAATAAATCTATCAGAGCCCATTTGGTTAGAACTCAAGTGACTTCTGGTTGGCATTATTAGAAATGAAGTTCAAATGGTATTGGATTTTAAGGGAAGATAGGAACTGAAGCTCTAGTGGTCATCTTCTTACCAAAGTTGCATGGAGACATGGAGGGGTACTCATACAGGGACGAGGTCGAGAATTGAGAAGCACCCAACTTTTTCAAATTTTACACAGATTGTGGTGGTCAGGACGACCCAATTACCCAAACAGAGACGTTTCAAGAACAGGAAGCGGCACTAGTTTGAAGGATCTGTTACCGTCAAGTAATGGCAAAAGAAACAACAGTTTGAGAATAGATGGGGAATGGTTTTGACAGGTTTAGAGAGTGAATTTGTGGGGGTAGTTTTGGACTATTGGTAAAAGAAACACAAGGTGAGTTTGGAGTTCCCAAACCCATAACTGATACAAATTCTAACAGGTGAGACAAATGGGCCTTAAGCAACTTTATTGATGATGGACAATAAGAATGATGTCCCATAGGGAAAATCAATATGAGTACCCTCTACTCAATGGATACAACCTTGCGGTTCATATGTCTGAATCTGCATATATCCTCAAAGAATTCATCAGAGCTGCTGTGGCTGCTCTTCATCTGAAGAATCTTTATTGTCAATCTTTTCAAATTCTTGGAGTACCTTAACAATGACTCCAGAGTGCTCATTTTCTGCTCTGCATTGAGTGGAGATCTCACTGTGACCACAACCTTTTCCAGGCACGGAATCGCAAACTTGGAATCCAACTGAAGTAAAAAAAACAGCACGCATAAATACAACTTCGTGAGTCTGGGGTCAAGATGTACACAGTCTACCCAAAACTTCTTTAAAAGTAAGAAGCTTAAAAAGTTTAATGTGTCACTGTGATTTACTTCATTATTTGCCCAAAGCTAAAAATGACTATTTTAGCTCCATTGGCAATGGACATGAACTGCACGCGTAAATATTAATGTAAAACTCAACTGAGGTAACCGCGGAACTCACGTTTTTTAGGCTGTTCTTTTGGCATAGTGCTGCAAACATAGCACCATGGATGTCGAATGTTTGGAGCTTGGGGTGGTTATTGAAGAAGTCGACGAAATCGACTTCAGGGAAAGGCAAGAGTGCTTCAAAGTCCCCAGTGAATTCCACTTTCATGAAGAGTTGCTTCACTTCACTGGCCATTTGAAGCAATTTGCTTGTAGCATCCCAGCTCCATTGGATCCCCCTCATGGCTAAGGTCTCAAGAGCTACAAGCTTTCCAAGATCTACCATATAAACTCTCCCTGCATGTGACACAAAACAATACCATCAGGCCTGTTGTTGTAGATATCCCACATAGCCTCAATTTATAGCCATTGTGATTTAATTAAATATTAGTACCTCCATTGTTGGCAATTGTAAGATTCCTCAAGAACTTCATCTCGCAAGCTCTAATCCAACTACACCCTTGTACCTCTAGGTCTTCAAGCTTTGGGCAATTAAGAGACAGGGTGCAGTTACCAGCCCCATAGAAATCAAGCTTGCAAAGCTCAAGATACTGGAGTTCGATTACTACAGACTCTGGCCCCTCACACCCTAACAGCAGAAGTTGCGTTAAATTCGGACAGTTCCTCAATACAGCAGAAATTGCCACATCATCAGCTTTAGCCCCAACTATTTCAAGAATCTTAAGCCTATGGAAAGTGTCCCACTTGGGGGTATGTTTCATAAGCACGCCCCAGAGCTTCAAACACTCCACATTGAATGCTTCTCTTATGGAATCCAACTTGGACTGATTCTGTTGTTCAGCTAGGTTGTCCATACGCAACTCAAGGCTCCGTAGGGATGGGCCCACGAGGGAAAGCCATGAAGCAAGACTGACCCCGGAGAAAGGGCAATAGATGCAAAGTGATTCTAGTCTCTCAACAGATGAGATCATCTGCCCTATGACAGCATCAGAATTTCCATTCTTGAAGTTTTCGAAGAGATTGCGGGGGAAGAAAAGGCTCCTAATCAGTGGCATTGTTTCCTTCCAACGTTTGGAAACACATGAGGAATAGGCCACGTCTTTGGCATTGGTTATGTGTGATAGAATGTAATGGACAAGGGCATCGGGTAGAGAGTCCATCTCTTTGACTGCAAAAAGCAAACATGTTGCAGTCAATATCAATCACCATACAGATATGATTCGGTGACTTGCATAATCAATTGTAAATTCCATTTGAAAATCAAGATACAATTTTTTAACCTTGTTGTATGTACATTACAAGAAATCCATATGAATTCAATCCAGAAAAAGCCAATTGACTAAGGGTCTGTTCATTTAAGCTTCTTGAAAGTTACTTTGTTGCGTATCAGACATAAGAGATTGGGAGAATCTTAAGTTTTACAGCATCTGTCGACTGTCAAAATTGAATAAACATGATTCTGTGTTCATAAAAATCTTATTAATTGCAAAATCATCTCACGGATTAGTTAGCTAATGGAACATTTCAGCCGGAGATCGCTCAAATATGGAAATGTAATCTGTTTTTTTTTATTTTTAGATACAAGAGTATCAATGTCGGGTTAATCAAACATACAAACAAGTGAAAAAACACTAAATTCCTGTTCTAGTACTAGTTATGCTTCTTAGAGTCCGAATCTATCACAAGCAAACCCTAGGGGAGCATAAAGAAATGCGAATATACACTTAAAACCAGTAAATCTTACCGGAAAGGGAAAATTGATGACGACAACGAGAATCTGCAGATCCAAATGCAACGGAGCTGAATAAACTCAGCGCCGGAGTTCAAATTTATGAGACGAAATCAGAAGAAAAAAATTGCAAAAATGCTGGAATTAAGCACAGATTCTTCACTCGGACGTTCACAGAATCGTCAAATCACACAATCAGCGAGATGCAAAATCAATGGGGGGTAAAATAGGAAGAGATGCGGAGATTTCTGAGCTACCTGGTTCGAGCTTTCTCTGAATTTGCCAGATTTGACGGTGGAAAAATAGAGTGGCCGGAAGAGAGAGGCGGGATTTTAAGCGTCTTTTTTCAAATTTCAAAAAAGTGCGAGGGGAGATGGAGATTGGAATGGGAGACTTCTTTTTTCATTTTTTTGACTTTTTGTTAAACGGAGTATACTGAAACTCACTCTTGTCCGTATTCGAAAATTGAAAGTGAAAAACCCGTTTGCTACTTTGGATTTTTAAACTCTTTGAACAATCCATTTGTCTTTGGATATTTTTCTATGTTATTAGCTGATCAAAATCATCAAATTACTTACTAGTAGTAAGTTAATTAGTTCATTTCTTATTTAAGTCATTTTAGTTTCACTGAGAGACAATCTCTATATCGAGAACATGTTAGAGCACTTACTACGGCGTCTGGACTAATTCGCCGCTCCAAATTTGAGGGGGCCCCGTGCTGCACACCTATTGCAGGCGAGGAGCCACATTTTCTGATGCGGCGCGCGCCCCACTTCTGACGCATACCCGGGCTTCGTTTCCAACGCAAAAATGTGGCGGCCGTCCGTTGTGACTGTCAAGGAACCAACTCAACCAAAAGCTCAAGCTTGTGGTTGTGACCCAGGAACAGTTATTTATATTCTAACACGACCCCTCACGTGCAGGCGTAGTCTTTTTCGAGTCTTGCACGTGAAACCTTAATTTTCTTTAAACTGGGTGGCGCTAAGTTTCGAACCCGTGACCTCTTAGTCAACGAGGCTCTGATACCATGTCAAGAAACCAACTCAATCAAAAGCTCAAGGTTGTGGTTGTGGCCCAGGAACAGTTATTTATATTCTAACAGTGACGATCCACCTCGCCAGAATCCCCCCCCCCCCTTATTTTTTACTTTTTAACTCAATAAATTCAACAGGTCTCCAGTTTCGAATCATCACTCTCATGTCTCTCAATTCATTCTCATCCATCTCAATTCATAACTTGCTTTCCATTCTCTCATTATTCAAAATGAATTTCAGCAACAACAACTTCAACTTTGATAACTCCGAACTTGATGTCGTCATTCGATTTGCAAACTCTAGTGCTTTACCCGAGTTTACCCCGTTCTCGAGCTCCAACTATAGCCCCTACTAGTTGTCATCCGTTAGTACGACCGACTACAATGTTTATGAGATGGAGCCCATCACCAAGGGAGTTGGCAAGGGGAATGCCAAAAAGGACAGGCCGAAGAAGTACACTCCGGCGGAAAGTCTGAGATTGGCGAAGTGCTACGTCAATGTTTCAAAGGATGCCATCATCGGCAACCACCATAAGTAAAAAATGTTTAGGAGTGTGTTTCGGTGAAGTAATGGATATGGATACTTCTGCTCCAGCGGCTTCTCAACTTTTTCAATTTTTTTCATAATTTTGAATTTTTAAAATACTTAAAATCATAATATATGTCTTACAAACTACCAATTCAATGTTAGATTTTGTATTTAAACAATACAAACACTGCTTAAAAAACAATTCAAAACTAGTTCTGAATAGTGTAAGATTTGTTATATTGTATAAAAAATTGATACTCCTTGCATCCTGAAATAAATTATCATTGAGTATTTAATAAAATAAAATATTTTTGTCACCTCTGATTTTGCAAAATTTTTTATGAAATTATTTAATATACAATTTTAATTTTTTTATTGATATATCAATGTATAAATAAAATGATCTGAAAAGACAATAAATTTTACTTCATAACTCCAAAGGAGTCATACTTAAATTCAATTGATGGGCGGACATTAAAAGTGTACCCTAACTTATTTTTTTACACTTCACCTACAAACTTTTTTATATATCCTACGGAGTAAGTATTACGAGATGTGTTCCTAAAGTACAAAAACATGAATCATCGTCTTGTTTCAAACAACATTTAAAGTTTAACTTTTTTTAAACGATTTTATTTATAAGTTGATATATCAATAAAAAAATATAATTTATATATTTAAAAAGTACATCGCCATATTGGCTCTACACTTTGTTAATTTGACAAAAAATTGTGACATGTACTCCGTATATTTTATTTTATCAAACAGTAAATGAAACTGCACATACAAATAAAAGTTATCGAATATCTAAAATAGTAAACAATAACTTTATGTTTAAGATAGAAGGATGAAGTATTATAGGAGTATATACACTATCTTGGTGTAAAATAATTTAAGATAGTGCTATGGGATACACTAAATGTACACCAGAACAAAAATATGCACTCACAGACATTCAATGTATGTGCATGCATGCAGGGGCGGAGGGAGGGGGGGCATGCGGGGGCACGTGCCCCCCCGGCGAAGATCTGGCAAAGAAGCTCCATCAAGTAGTCCGGGATCCGGCGATATGGTGCCCCACCGGAAGTGCAGCAGTCGGCCTTCCTGATGTTTTTTGTATTGAAGCTTCAATTCTATCGTTTAACAAATATACGGTGTCGTATTGTTGTTTAATTTTATAAAATCTTAAACGGCGTCGTTTGAGCTAGGGTTTTAATATCCCTGTCGTCCACTTCTTTTTGGTTGTTGATTTGATTGTTACGGAGTAAGTTATGGTGTTATACCATACATAGTTTATTTTCTTTCACTAATTTGGGTTTTTGGTTTCCTATTTTGTGATACTCCGTATGATTATTTATTAGATAAAGCTATTTGTTTCCCATTTTGTACCCCACATAAATTCACTAACATTTTGTGTTGGTGTAATGCTAATTTTTATTGATGCACCAATACTTTGTGTCAGTGTAAATTTTCTTTAACACATCAACACTCTATGTCAGTGTGAACCATCAAAATGGTGGTGCANAGTAAGTTATGGTGTTATACCATACATAGTTTATTTTCTTTCACTAATTTGGGTTTTTGGTTTCCTATTTTGTGATACTCCGTATGATTATTTATTAGATAAAGCTATTTGTTTCCCATTTTGTACCCCACATAAATTCACTAACATTTTGTGTTGGTGTAATGCTAATTTTTATTGATGCACCAATACTTTGTGTCAGTGTAAATTTTCTTTAACACATCAACACTCTATGTCAGTGTGAACCATCAAAATGGTGGTGCATACGGCCTTTGGTGTACAAATAGGGTATAAATTTTGTGATACATGTAGCATGCTCTTTATTATACATCCAATTATTTTGTTTTAGGTTCAATTAAAGTAATTGATTTGCTAAAGTTTCAAAAAAAATGAAGAGAATGAATTGTGTATTCCCTGAGTAGTTTTTTTACAAAATATAGCTGTGGATGAATTAAATATAGTTTAATTCTAGAGTTATTTTTTCATGATCTTATGTTCACATGTGAAATGTGAACTTTCTCGCACATTTTAGTATTTTACAAGATGACAAGTGGGTCTTTTACTCTTTTACAAAATGTCAAATCTTTTATGGTATCAATGCATTCATGTCTATTAAATAAGCATGAATTTTAGACCACGTATAGTAACAATAATCCTTAATTTAAATTTTTAGAATATTTGGTTGAAAGAAAATTTCTTAGTTGTATATTTTTAATCAATTTGTTATTGTATTTTCCAAAAATAAAAAGGGATACCTTGAAACCCATCTTCTAAGTGGTGCCCACCCAACATTTACATCCTGGCTCCGCCACTGCATGCATGTGCATGCACAGACATTAAGTGCTTATGTGTGCATATTTTTGTTTTAGTAATGTAACTCAAGTGAATCCACCAAACATTTTTCATAATTTAATTGTAATGAAAATGTGTGCGCGTCTATGTTTGCAGATATTGGTGTCTTGGTTCCAAATAACCAGATTTCGGAAATAAATTTTTTAGGGTTGAAATTAATTTAATAAGGTTGGAGATCAAAGTGGAAGATCTATCAAACTTGCAAAAGTTAATATATAATGATGTGACGAATTAACCATATTAAAGAGATAGATTATGCCTAAACATAGAAAATAAGTAGCTTATGGGTTGCACTAAAAAAAGTAGCTTATGAGTTTAAAGATCATTGTCACCTCCATCCAAAAATACGATATGTGTAGTGTACCAATTTGAAAAAAAACATTTTATGATGCACTAGACCGGCTCGAATAGTAATTTGAAGAAAAAGAATTGAAAATAGTTTTAATCTTAAATTAACTGATTAATATCAAGTGTATATACCTCTGGTATGTGTAAGGATATCATACTAAGCTAATCGGTCTCCATCGGCGTTGACAATAATCAAGTCCAATCCAATTATTACGTACTTTGCACGCATATTGACCGATTGAACAACGCCCATTAATAATGTATCAATTTTAATCCCAACTATTTGTATGTTCGTGGGGGCGCAGCGGAAATCACCAATTAAGTGCTATGCAAACAAATCAACCAACTGTGCTGCAGAGAAGACGCTACAGCACTGTCCAGTAACAGATGGCGGACAGTTTGCTATAACACTTCTCTGTCACAAGCACTCACACAGAAGCAGATGACGCAGAGGGTGTTACAGCGCCTACTGGGCAGAATGCTGTAACTGTAAAAAGCGTAGAAAATAACACCAGACATGTTTACGCAGTTCGGAGAAACTCTCCTAATCTGCGGGGCCCACGTCCGTGTAATAGCCCTCCACTAAATCACTAGATGCAAGTTACACCGGTACATAACAACATGATGAGACACTCTTCTCCGAATTGCTATGACAAAACTTCTAATCTAGGATTTCTAACCCGAACTCTGTTCAGATCTGCTTCGGCTATCACATCTCCACCGAGATCACGAGGACAAACGTGTTGGCAGCCCACTCGTTCAGCTCTGATCCATCTCCTGGACATCACGATCTGTTTGGCGTTGAAGATCTGCTCCTTCGTGTAGATCGTAAACTTCTTCACGCAAGGGAAACTCCGGGACGCGACGGGAATGCTCTACATCAGCGTATATTCTTTGTTTTCCCTCTCAATCGCTCCAAGTAATTCCCAGGGACCTGCTGCGTTTTTATAGGCTCCTCTTAACACAATCCTAGTAGGAGTAGGAGAGTAGATGTTGGCTTGAACTCTACTTCCTTAATCTTGATCCACAAGTAGCCTAAAGAGTTGGGATTCCTTAGCATGTACAGCTGGAGTTATTATCATGTAATCACAATCCCAATAGGTCTCTAATTCAGATTGCAGCTTAAAATCCCGTGCTCAGATCTCTGATCCCGAATAGTGTGTTGCAGCATCGTGCTGTAGCATCTTCTGTGTCAACCTCGAAAACTGCAGCAGCTCTAAAAGTTTAAATAAAATAAACCTCTCCTAACAAATAGAGGTTTCTACCTAGTAAAACATCTAACAAATATGTGATTCTATTTTGCAAAAAGATTAGCCAACACCATGGAACCAACACTATTCAGTTCTAGAATATTGGAATTTGAGCCAAATGAAGTACTCCCTCCGTCCCAAAAAGTCCGACACGTTTCGAAAAAACTGCGTCCCGTAAAGTCCGTTACATTTACATTAAAAAACTACTTTTACCCCTTACTTTTTAATACCCTACATATCATATCATACATATCAAGGGTATTTTTGGAAAGTCAACACCAAAATATCCATCTCTTAATTTCTCAAAAAGTCAATATGTACCAATCTTTTTGGGATGAAGGGAATATATAAAATGGAATCTTGAGTATAAAGTTTAAAAACTAGAATTATATTCTATTGATCGAATTCTTTGTACCAGACATAGCCTTAATGTTTTTCAAGATGGAGAAATATATTAATATGTATAGAGATTAGAACATGTGTTATGCAGAGGCTTGATGAGGTTTGATGGAGTATAAAAAAAGTATGATATCTACTGATAAAAATATGTCTGTTATGGTAGATGAGAAGAAAAGTGATAAGATGTGAGTATGCGTTAGATTTTGATTAGTTAAAATATTTAGAAAAAGAAAAAAAAATGGGAGGGGAGAGGCCATCAGAGAGTGATGGTTGTCACTTGAATTGGGGCAACGCCCCCTCACCGTATGGGGGCGTGAGTGAGGATGGTCAAGCTCCTCCTCACGTATTCACGCCCTCTAACACAAAGCCTAAATGTAAAACAAAAAAATATATTTGAGTCGTGTTATAGTGAAATCATATACCCCATATAAAATGTGAGATATGGAATACGAGGATAATGGTCTTTAAATTTATGTTTACAAAAAGTCAAAATTGACATGATTAATTGTTTGAATAAAATTTATGAACAATATACTCCGTAATTTCGATGTACGGAGTATCAAAATTGGTTAGTTTGCAATGTAATCCAACTAATGACTAAAGTTTTATTTGGAAATAATATTTTTTTCATTTAATATTAGTATTATAGATTGTTCTTTTAACAGTGCAAATTAATTTTAAAAATTCTAAAATAAAAATCTATTGTTGAATAGAATTTTCAAAAGGCTGAAGTATCAAAGATAAAAGTGGAGTTGTTGTATATAACAAGTAAATAAAGAAGTATTCCTAGATCAAAATAAAGTGCCATCCAAATTATTTGTATCTCTTAAGTACTCCGTAATAAGAAAACTTTGGCAATGTGAATTTATGGTAGTGTAATGGCATATTAGCAATTTAGCATATGGTCGTGGGTAGCACGGTCCGGTTCCGGAACCGGCGACACATTACTTATTTTTGGGGATTTGGAATCGGTACCATGTAGAAACGGTTCGATTTCGAATAATTTTTTTTATTTTTCTCTTTGTCAAAGAAGTAGTTGACTCCAATATCTTTTCTTGGTGGAAAATATTACAGAGGAGAATGAACAGACCTCAAGCAAATTGAAAATAAGTTTAACAAACTAAATCGGTACCAACTCCAGCTGGTTCCGGTATAAAGAGTCTACTCCTAATTAATATAAAAAAGAATGTCACAGTTCACTATTCATAAATCACGAAAAATTCATTATTTATACATTTTAATTGATTATTTGATAAAATAACATTTTTTTATCACATTTTGTTATGAACATAGTTTTTTTAAATATATAAATTTTATGTTTTTATACTAATATTTAAATAAAATGTACCAAAAATATTTAAAATTTTACTCCCTCCATCCTAAATTTAACTTCCCAGTTTGACTTTTATAGTCAAACTTTTTAAACTTTGATCGTATATTACAGAAAAAATACATTAAATTTTTATATAAATTTATTAGCAATAAATTAATTTTGAAACATAGTTTGAAATATATAATTTTTATAAAATATATTTATATAAAAATTAAGATATTGATGACCAAAATCTCGCATTAGAGACCGTAAAAAGTCAAATGAGAAATTAATTTTAAGACGCAAGGAGTATTTCACTATATTTAATGTGACAAACATTTTGAAATCGAAAGTACTTTGTAATTTCATTATTTTTGTTTTTATGTACGGTTGCTTGAGAGCGGGGGCTTGTATAAGTTCACCACGAAATCACCACTTGTCCCTCTCTCCTCTCTCTCTCTCCATCTTTGAAACCACCGAAACAGAATTGAAAAGCTGTGGAGTAAAACTGAGCTCGATCGGGGGGTGAACTGTTCCAGATGCTCACTGAATGGGGAAATCTGATGATCAGCAACTGCCACTGCATCAACAGCAAGGCCGCCGGAGTCGGCCCGGCGGGGGATGTCCGGTGGGCGGTCTCTCTCATCTTTTCAACCGTTTCAATTTCAAGTGCTTCTTCGTCCTCCTACTGAGCGTCGCCGTTTTTCTCTCCGCAGCGTTTTCTGTCCTTCCTCTTCGCCCTAACGCGTCTGGCTTTGATGCGAAAGAGGCAATCAAGCTAGGCTGTGAGTCCTCATCTTCCACTCTTAACCCTTCCATTTTCCTGGCATCTTCCATTTTTGTGATTATATCGTATTTGCGCTGGGTTTGTGTTGCAGTTTCTGAATTGATTGCAATCTTATGGAGTAAAAACATTTTGAAATTTGCAGGAAATCTGTTTGTGCATAGTGTTTCTAGCCTGTCTAACGCAATGGTTTACTTCAGCTACATAATGGATTGATTCAAAATTCCAAACTAAAGCTTTTTTTGAGAACAACCTTTGTGATCATCTTTAGCATTTTAGACAATTTTTAAGGGTTGCTAATTAATATTGAAAAAGCTGACCCCCAAAAGCTAGAGTTTGATAACACTACACTTAAACGGAGCATAACATTTTCTTGTTTTTTTTTTACTTTCAATGATTATTTGGTTAGTAAGTTCAAGAATGCATCAAGGTCTAACAGAATTATTACTCCATATTATTACTCTGTACTCATTATTTTAACTTCATCCGCCTAGTGTTTATAGCATGTCTTCAACAATGTTTTATCTTTGGGTAAATAACAGACTAAATATAAATGAAAAATTAAACTTTTCCGGCTTCTTAGTTTCGTTGATGTTTTGGGTAGCGATGCATCAAGGGTCTAACGGAAAGTGCCTCTTAAATTTCTTACAGAAATATGGCTTACTACATCTTGACTCCCAAACTCTAACTTAGTCAGATTATATTGGTTTTGTTGTTATTGTCGTTGTGGTTCTTGAATTTCTGTGGGCATTACATTAACATTGCGATGAATTAGAACTTTGAAAAACTAATTCTCAATGATTATAAATTGCATTTTTGTCTTGCTTTGATATCTTCTGATTAATTTGGTTTCTATTTCAGCTACTGTTCAAGCATACATCAGACTAAAGAAACCGGTTTCAGATCTTATTCATAGCATTGATAGACTAGAATATGATATCTATGGGGAGATAGGAGTCCCTTCTACAAAGGTTTGTATTCTTTGTCAACAGTAAGGATCTGTTTGGTTCCATTGATGTTAGATTACCAGATATCATATCCTAGTCTATCAATGCTATGAATATGACATGAAAGTTGGCTGAAACTAGTATATTGGTTGGTGGCAGGTTGCAATTCTATCCATGCACCAGGCAGATTTACAAAACGAGAGTGATGCGATATTTGGTGTCCTTCCCGATCAAGCCAATTCATCTATAAATCAGCAGTCCCTAGATTTGCTGAAAATGTTATTCATAGATCTTTTTCTCAAACAAGCCAATCTGACCCTGACTACTTCAATCTTTGGAGAGCCATATTCTTTTGAGATTCTGAAATTTCCAAATGGAATGACTATAATTCCTGAACCCCTCTCTCCATTCTGGGATGCACCTCAGATCCTCTTCAACTTCACTCTCCATAACTCTGTTGAAGTAATAAAGGAGAATTATGTCATTTTAAAAGAGCAGCTGAAGTCTGGCTTACATCTCAAGCCACACGAGGTATTTTTTTCCTCTTATTTTTTCATCTCTCGCACTTTCTTCTTTCATTCTCTTTTCTCAAATTCTCTTCTAAACCAAACAGAGCATCAGTGTGTGTATGGTTGGCTTGTCTTTGTTTGTGCTTTCATCTATAAAAAATCCGTGTGGTGTTTAAATTCGTCTTTTTTGTCTTTTCATATGTTTTATCAGGAAGTTTTTGTAATGGTGAAAAACAAGATTGGTTCTACAAGAGACCCTCCTGTCACAATTGAAGTGTCTGCTGTTACGGATGTTGACATTCTACCACCGGAAAGATTGAAACAATTAGCCCGAACAATCACCCGATCCCCTCCCTCAGCAAATCTTGGCCTTGATAACTCTGTTTTTGGTAAGGTTAAGCAAATAAGTTTATCTTCCTTCCTAAGCCATTCACTTCAGTCCCTTCCTCCAATGCCTGCTCCAGCTTCAGCTCCGACTCACTCCCCATTCCCCTCGCCACCTTATGCTAGCCACCAACGCTATGGCCCACTTCCTGGGGACACATATTGCCAATCTCCACCTGACATCACTGCTTCACCGCCGATTGGTCCAGGCCCATCACCAGCTGGTCCCGTTTTGTCTTACTACTTTGCTAATTCCCCACTGTCAGGCGATGTCATGCTGAAGATGTCACCTAGTCTTTCTCCTCTGCCCGGGGAATCATATCATTATAGTCGGACCCAGGAAAAATGGGTTGCAACTAGTTTTGGCTCGTTATCACAAATTTCTTCAGCATCATCATCATCTCCATCAGGTTAGTTGCCATTATGGTTATATTTTTTTGTTAATGAGGAGATGTGGTGTTTTGAGTTGATTTCTCGCCCTTTTTCATTAACTATTACTCCCTCTGTTCTCGTTTTTTCAGTCCCACTTTTCCTCAATCCTCATGCCGTATTCCTTATTTCTTTTTAATGAGAGAATAAATATGGTTGATATTGCTTCTTTCCTTTTCAAATAAAACTCATTCCCACAATTTAAATACATGCAAAGAGCATACTCGGTAAGTTTTACACTGGATTCCCTTTGTGCCACAATCATCTAAAGATCCCCGTTGTGTCACATACTTTTGAGGAAGGAATAATGAGACTATGTCTCAAAAACCACAACCATAATAGGTTTAATTCCATTTGCATGGAAAATATTATGAGATGGGGATGAGTTCAAGTAATTTCGATTTGATAGATGATTTTCATGCTAAACCGCCTATTCTTGTCAGCTTGATGTGTGGATTTATTTTGCAGTCTTATGCTGGTTCTTGACAATGCTATGTTGGATATGATACCACGCCTAATGGAGTTTCTTTGAGTAGGACACGGTAGCGCTTCTAACATGAAGGTTAATGCCTATCATAACTGTATACAAACAATGCATATATGTTAACGGAGCTGTTGTGGGGTCTACACCTAAGGTAATTGGCTTCTGTTTCACTCCATGACACTCAGATATGTAATACCCATTGCAGGTTTTCAAACTCATACAAAATTAAATTGAGATAGTTGTATATTTTAACATCTGCAGTGTGAGTGTAACAACAATAAATTCAGTAAAATCCCACAAAAAGTAGCATTTGAGAAGGGTGCATCGTAGGGTGTCTCTATCCAAGAAAGCAAGCATCATTTGTTAGTATTAGTCTAAGATTATTACACTCCACAAATAAAGAAAGACTAAGTACTGCAAAGCATGATATTCTCTAGGGAGCGAAATTCTCATGTTTTGCATCAACTTCAAAGAGTAATCGCAACTAGCTGAGTACAACCCAAATATTGATTATTTATGTATTTTGCATAGAATTTGTGATATACTCAAGTTCTTCGAGATTGAAAGGTTGACTGATCCAATTGGGCAGCACACAGAATGGCCATAAAGAACGAAGGGGATCCCACAAACATGTAAGAGAACTCCTTATATTTTCTTCTTCATCTTCTTCCTCATCCATTTGTTCTTCGTGGCCAAAACTGTTCATAGTATTATGCTCTTCCTCGACGCCATGGCTTGAAGAGCAAAAACCTTGTACCTCGTATCTACATGCTGGACAAGTGTTACTGATTTGTAGCCATGGAGCAATACACTCAAAATGGTAGACATGTTTGCAAGGTAACTCCCTCACTTCCACCCCAACCTCAAACTCGTCCTTGCAAACCGGGCAATTTGAGTTACAGCCCTCCAAATGTTCTGGGCTGATCGTCACCTTCGGCAAAGCTTCTATTGCTGAAGGTGATGCAAACCTAGTTTGAACCTGACCGGTTTCGCTCCCAAACAAAGAAGGTGATGCGTTTTGGTACAAGATTGTGGCTGGGTAGCCTGGATACCTGTGAAAATATTCTTGGTTAATTGGTCTCGAGAAGCGTTGTGGCCCCACGACATCAGACATTGTCCTAGGAAATATATCGTCTAAAGATGTTAAAACGCATATCATCTCTCACCAGACATAAAAAAAATACAAAACAACAGACAAGCCTTGTTCGGGAATAGTGTTTTCAATTAGTCTTAGGATGATTTTTTAATGATGTAAATTAATTTTGAAAACGCTAAAACTAAATGTTGTAGTTGTTGCCAAACGAGCACAAAAAGTAGTAATACCAGGATTGATCTAAACATGTGGGGCATACTACGATCTCATGCGGTCCATTAGATGAAGTTGCCTCGCGGTTATGATGATGTCGTAACGGTCCCACAGCGAGATTAGTCGAGGACATGTAAGGATGAAAAAGCTTAGTTATGAGTCTTGGGAAAGAGTAGGCATCAACTTAATTGAAGAATTTTTATACTCTGCTTATATAAATAAATGAATATGTAGTATATATATGAATGCTTTGGTTTTCTTGAATTGTTAGAAAGGAAAAGGTTAAGGAATTGCCCTCTTCTGGGTTTTTATATAAGTCATATATGATGTTATGTATGGCCTAGAGAAGAAAGGGATGAGTGTGAGTAATGAAATGATTCGAATTATTCTAACTTTTCATGTAAGAGAAGTTTATGACTATTATGTACAGTTATTGCGTTAATTGAGTAGAGTTATTTTTTTAATTCAGTTTATATGGAATAAAAAGAATTTATAAATTACATTGGAAACTGTATTCTCTGTGTCCCAAATTAAATTGTTTGTTACGGAGTACAATTTATGATGTTTAACTTAAGTTATTCTCAATTTATTTGAAAATTTGTGTGAAATTAAAAAAATTAGATTTATATATTTAAAAATAGTGTTTTTTAGCTATGTACACTCGGTGAATATTTATTTTGAATCAACAGAATTTTTATTTTTAGTCGTAGTGTTTTTTCTGAAATAATGTAGTGTTCATTCTGAAATAATATAATGTTCATTCTGAAATATTTTTTTAATTATAAGTTTGTCATTCTGTAACAAGAGGATGATATATTCGGTTGTACCATATAATTTGCTTTCCGATTATATTATTGTATCAAATAAATAACAAAAATAAGTTAAAAAGCGTGAATAAAATTTGAACTTATAAATAGTAGTAAATAATTTAAATTGGGACGAAGTGCATACAATATGTGGTTATAGGAATATGTTAGTTTATTAAATCAGTAAAGAAAATAATCAAAATTTGACTTTGTAAATAACAATCCGATTGATTATTTTTTCAAACCAATCGAATGTTTGGTTCATTTCCAGAATTCATTGTAATTCTCTTTAATATAAGTTGCTCATTTCAAAAAAAAAAAAACTCGAGTTAATACTTGAGTTATACTCGTAAGAAACGCGTGCTAGCCCAACATCTTCAAACTACCATAGCAGCCCCAGCCCAAGGCTAATCAAGCCCAATATAAAGAAGTGTTGGATTCTTATATTTCAATCCACCCAAGACCCAACCCATCAAAGCCCAAGGGACTCCCCATCGCCTTCATTGGAGAAGGAATCGCCATGTTGCTGTTATATTGCTCAAGCTCAACGCATAAAGCTTGACCTTTAAGTTTGCGGGTCCCTGTTTAATTGTCGGGCCATACTAGGGGGGTACACGAGCCGAATACAAAAGTGTCTATAATCACTCTTATCTGTGTTTGTTTGGTGTACCCAAATCTTATTGTTAATTGTTGGTAACGGATATCGTTGGTTGAAGTTTGGGTTTTTTTGTGAGTCAGGCCGAGGATACTCGTGGGGTGCTTGGTATGGTAACCAAAAAGTCAAGAATCACAACAAACCTTATACTCCTCTGTCCCAGAAAATCCTTTTATTCTTATTTTTCATTTGTTCTGAAAAAACAATTTCACTTTCAAGTACCCAAGTATGCGACTGGCCTGGGTACGTTTCGAGGACGAAAAGCGACTTCTATTCGAAAAATCTGTACAACATAGATAAAAGTATTTTCTTTCGTCCTTAGAGTATGTCTGGAAATTAAATAGTAAATGTAATTTTCCCAAACGAGCTCAATTTTATTTCTAGCTAACACAAAGATATATCGAAAGCAAGGCATCTATCTATCAACTACTGCCATTGTCTTGCAAAGCTTTACCAAATTAAATTAAAAAATTAAAAAATTCCGATTGAAATTATTTAGATGAGAGAGAAGACCGCGAGTCGCTCATTTCTTTCTCTAGAAAGAAAAAAAGAGTTATGTTATCATAATCCTAAAGTCCACATGTACAATTAATGTGGATCGGTAGCTGGATATATTTCGTCTTACAAGATCTAATAAATGAATGATCATTCATTATCTCAAGATCCATAAAATAAGTATAGATTGCTGTTATATATACTCGTACCTCTCACCTCCTCTGCACGTAATGCATCTTCCACTTCACTTTACTACTCTTCTTCTTATTCTTCTTTTACATTATTCCTTATTACGAGTATATATAAACTCAATAACTCATTCATCATTTTAATTTACTTCAATTCATTTTTTAATTTTTTATATATAATAATAATAAATACATAATAATAATTCATGGCTTCTCATAACTTCAACACATTTGTTCCTAGTATGTGCTTGCTGTTTTTGCATCAGCAGGTAAGTAACTTATTTTACTACGGAGTATTCAATTCACTGTTGTTCAATGAGTAACTTTTTGAAATATTTGCTCCATGTTTTATTAATTTTATGGCACATAATTCCATATGATCTGTTATATATGGCCTCGATCATTAGCAACAAATGTTGAATAATGGATAATTACATGGTAAACTTGTCTACATGCACAAACATCACACTCATAAACAATTGCAAAGAGACGGTGTGGCCGGGAATTACCACCAACAATGACACCAACGGGGACGGGTTCGCCCTGAAACCGGGAGAGTCCGCCGTATTCACTGCCCAACGCGGATGGGGCGGCCGAATATGGGGCAGGACCGGCTGCAGCTTCGACAGAAACGGAAGCAGCAGCCGCCCGTGCCAGACAGGGAGCTGCGGGAGCTCCCTGAAGTGCGCGGGCCCTGGCAACCCGCCGGCCTCGATCGCCGAGTTCACGCTCGGGGACACAAACTTCTACGACGTCAGCCTCGTCGACGGGTTCAACTTGCCCATCGTGGTCGAACCCGTCGGCGGGAAGGGAAACTGCAGCGTCGCGGGGTGCGACAAGGACTTGAGGCGGCACTGCCCTCCGGAGCTGGCGGTGAAGTCGAGCGGCGAGACGGTGGCTTGCCGGAGCGCGTGCAACGTGTTCGACACCGACGAGTACTGTTGCAGAGGCGCGTACAGTACACCCGCGGCCTGTTTGCCTACGAATTATTCCAAGAGTTTCAAGTCGGCTTGCCCTTCCGCTTACAGTTTTGCATTTGATGACCCCACAAGTGTCTTCACATGTTCCCCTACAAATTATGTCCTCTCATTTTGTTCCTCAAGGTAACCATTTCTTACTCTTTTTTTTTTACTTTCCACTCCAAAATAAATTTATTGATAATAAATTTATGAAATATTTGTACAAAATAACACTAAAACTTAAGCCATTTTCTTAAATAGCATTTAAACTGTTTTATTCTCTAAATAGCACTTATTAATGTTCAGAAGGGGGAATAATGTCCACTAAGGAAAAAACATATGTGATGCTATTTAGGAAAAGTGATATTAAGTAAATTCCTCAAAATTTATGTCATAACACAATATATTTTTTCATATATTGTGGTTAGTGTTTAAAAAAGTTGACTAAAAAATCAAATGAAAAGCAATTTTTTAGACATTTGTCAATTTTTTTTAGTGTATGATAAACAAAAAAAAAATTAGGGAGTAAATTTCTATGCCATGCATATAGGTTTATTGCTGGATAATCTCGATCTCTATGCCATTGCATGAGTATTTAATTTATTTCTAAAGCTGTTTGTTTTTTTTTGTTTGGATTTTTTTTTATGTATTGTAGAAATCAAACACAATGCACAGTGGAGAATAACAAGAATGTGTCTTGTAATGAAGCAAAAGGGTTGAAATCATTCTTCAAACTATGGCACTTACTGGCGGCCCTGGCTGTTCCCAGTGTTACAATGAACTTTGGAGTCGTCCTTTGACATACATACATATATGTCTGTAGTTTTTGGCTATAATTTTTTTATTTTAATTTTTTAATTTCATAATTTTTTTAATATTGTAATTCCATGGTCGTAAGTTCCACGTGTCAAATCTAAACGTTTCCACGCTTTTATTGGATTGACCTACGGTAGCCTTTGGGTACATATATTACAACCATGTTCGGTGAAAAGAAAGGTGACACCGCAATCAGATCCTAAGCCTTCGGGCCTTCACCCCGCGCACAGTGTTACAAACATCCCAAACAAAATTCGGGAAAAATGCTAGGGGTACACCTTTGGTGTACCCCAAATATCCCACACCCCCTCCTTGTCCACTAAAAAAAGCAAAAAATTTAAAAAAAATAAGTAAATAAAAATAAAATAAAAATGTGTGGAAGAAAGAAGGGTGGTGTACAAAAGGTGTATCCCTAACATTACTCAAAATTGGGCGCAACACCAACAAACAAAACATGTTGAAATTGATGTGCATTTTCTTTGGGAAAAAGTTCGACTTGGCCATTTTCGGGTGTATCGATATAACGAAATGCGCTGTTATTTTACTTTTCGAAGATATTAATTGATGTGATCAGAAACGCCAGACTTAATTCGGCCATATTTTTTTTTCTTTGTTGGGTTCTTTTTTAACTTTCTTAAGATTTGAGAGAGTATGAAATGATGTTGTTTAATTAAATTTGAAGTTCAATAAAAAACCAAAGTGAAGGAATATTTAGTAATACAATCTATTTTTGTTAAATATTATACGTAATGTTTAAATTTTAAACACATAGTTGAAGAAATTAAATAAGAAAAAAAAACCAGAAGAAATAAATAATACTCCCTCCGTTTGGAAAAACCCTTCCCATTTTGATTTGGGGCAAAAATAAGGAAGTGTTAAATTATACGGAGTAGTTGATTTCCAATTTTGCCCCTGATGTGATGGGTAAAAGTAAGATGTGATGGATAGATTATTAGAGAAAAAGTATGATGTGATAGATAGGGTATGAAAAAGTAAGGGTAAAATTGATTTTTTAATAGAAAAGGAAAGTGTTTTGTTGGAAGTGGAAAAAATGAAAAAGGAAGTGTTTTTGAGAACGGATGAAGTACAATATATTATCCTATTATAGTGATCATATTCATTACTCAGTCATTTCTTGCTTTCTATTTAATTAAATTAAATTAAATTACCGGCAATAATAATTTCATGATAGAACAATAACCAAATTTCACTAAAAAGAACTGCAAATTGAAAAAAATAAAAAATGGTGGATCACAATTCTTGTTTTGTTTCTTCTTCCGGAGTACCTAACTAACTGCCGGCGAATCCATGGCTTCCCTCTCTTCTCCGGCCCTCTCTAACCCCCGCCCTCTGCCGAACCTCTATCACAATCTCCGCCAACCTTTATCTCTGCGCACATCCAACGCTCTCAATTTCTCCGTCAAAGCCAACGCCGGTCCGCCACCAATTCCGCCGCCGTCATCGGCGGAGGAGAAGAAGTCGTTTGCGGTTGCCACAGGCGAGCTTTTCCTCGGAATCGCGTCGCGCATTCTGAACCGTCGAGGCGGTGGTAGTGCCGGAATCAGCAATGCGGACGGAAGTGGGGATATTAGGGCATCCGAGAGAGTTGCGATGTTCGAGGATGATTCAGAGAGGGAGAGTTATGTTTGGAAGAGAAGGAAGGAGGGAATTGCGTCGGTGGTGGAGGATCCGGTCCAGCCTGAGGTTTTGTGGGAGCAGAGTGTGAAGGATGTGGAAGCCGAGCGGCGGCGGAAGGCGGTCACTACCCCCGGATTCAGCTTCTCTGCTGCTGGGCTCTTGTTTCCATATCATCTTGGGGTAGCTCATTTTCTTATCGAGAAAGGATATATCAAGGTAAAGTGTTTCATCTGTTCTTTGTTATTACACTAGCTTGTATTTGATTCATAAAATTTGTTAACAGTGAATAGCATAAGTGGAAATCTATCTTCCATTGAATTATTGAAGAAAGACAGCTGAATTTATAAGACTGGCTGATCAAGTTAATCTTTTGGCGTGTTTTGAATAGGTTATACGGAGTATTAGTTAATTTGATCAATTCAATTTGTTAGTGTTGTTTGATTCATGTGCATTACTGCATTTTGGTTATGTTCCAGTTGAGACTCATCCCAATCTTGAATTCTATCATGACGACCTCGGCCCTGATCTCATTCAAAGCCTGCGTCTGCAGGTCCAACTGTGCAGATCCATGTATGCAATTGATCATTAATAGTATTGATTCACATTTCACAAATCGCTATTGATTCTCATTGAATTTTCAAATGCCAGCCGATTAAACTTGTCTTTAGGTCCTTATTTCTAACATCTGAAGGTATTCAGTATAGCTTGACCCAACTGAAGCTGGATCAATTTTCTTAAGTCTTGGGGGTGCAGACTATATTGAAAATCCAAATTTCTGGGGGGGGGGGGGGGG